AAGTTTTCAAGACTAATACATCATCGAATTTCATAACAATAAAAGGTATTCCAAAAGGGTTTAGGATAGGACATAAATAACCTTTTTAAAAAATTTTATTGGATTTTGTACCCCGATAAGATGATGTTCAATGGGATCTGAAAAAAATTATTTAAAATAGTTGTTTTTTTAGGTGAAATTTACATAAAAGGTGGAAGGACATTGATAAGTTAAGATGCCATTTCCAGAAGATTTTGCAGTAGAACCGTTCATGGACAAACATGAGACTAATGCACTTTTCAATTTGGGTGAAACTTGCTGTTATTCTTTATCATTAGATGAAATTGAACAGCTTTCAGGGAATAAGTTCAATTTTAATACCAAGACAAGGTTATCCTATGGTGCAATAAAGGGATCTGATGAATTACGTACTTCAATTGCAAGTTTGTATGGCCCAGATTTTACTATGGATGATATTTTATTAACTAATGGTGCAATTGGTGCTAATTTTTTGGCTTTTTATACTCTTGTTGGTGCAGGTGATCATGTCATCTGTGTCGAACCAACGTACAGCCAACTATACAGTGTCCCCGAAATGTTTGGTGCTGAAGTGGATTTATTAACTTTAAAAAAAGAGGATGACTTCTTGCCAAATTTACAAACACTTAAATCCATGATCAAAAATAATACTAAATTAATTATTATCAACAACCCTAACAACCCACTGGGAAGTGTCATTAAAAAGGACCTGTTAAAACAAATATGTAAATTATGTGAGGAAAATGACATTTACTTACATTCTGATGAAGTATATAGACCAATTTTCCATTCACTAGAAGATGAAATGGTTCCTCCAAGTGCTTGTGAGCTTTATAGTAAAGCCATCGTTTCTGGATCCATGTCTAAAGCTTATTCAGTTGCTGGTATTAGATTAGGATGGTTAGTGAGCAAAGATAAACAATTCTTGAGGGATGCAGCATCAAGAAGAGATTATAATATGATATCCGTTAGTATGATCGATGATCAAATTGCACAATATGTTTTAGATAATCGCGAATATGTCATCAAACGTAACTATGAGTTATGTTTAAATAATTTCAGGTTATTAAACGATTTTATGGATGAACATAGTGATAAATTCGAATTTTATCACAAGCCAACTGCTGCCACCGTTTGTTTAGCTAAAGTCAAAGGAGTTAATGACACAATGAAATTTGCGACATTTCTTGCTGAAAAATATGGCGTATTAGCTGTACCAGGTGAAGCATTTGGTGTCCCAGGTACCATTAGAATCGGATATTGTAATTCTGAAGATGATATCAAACTAGGTTTAAAACACTTGGCAGATGCTTATATCGAATGGTTAAAAATTATGTAATTAATGCTATTATATCTACAAAGTCTATAAACTCTTATAAAAGAAATCATACAATCCAATGTCAGCCTGCTTTGAATTTTGAAGTTGGTCTTTATCAAATGATAATGAATAAAAGTCTCTTGATTCTATAATTCGTAATTCCATATCTTTCATTTTACTTGCAACACCGATAACAGATTTGAGATCTTTTGGTGCATACTTTTTGGTTAATAATAGTACATTATGTACCACATTTAATACTTCATTGATCTGAGTCTTGAAGGAAGATATATTTTTTCCAGAACTTGATGATTTAGAACTGGCGTTAAACTTGTAAAGCCTGTCTAAAAGCAATGCTGAGAATAGGTCACCGACACCCGTGAAGTAGGATTCAATTAATGGAACTCGGAATACCAGTGGTTCATGGTCTCGTAATGAAGCCACACAATATACGTTGTTTGAATCATTAAATAGATTTGGCATACATGATGTCAATACTACCATGGGAATAGTACGATGTAGCTTTGTCAATGCTGATTTAAGTTCTTCAACAGTGCTAATTTTCTCACCATGCAGAATTTCAAATTCGAATTGATTGGGAGTAATGATATCAACTAATCCATCAGACTCTAAAGCTATTCTCTTATACTCTGGGATAACATCTTCATCCACATATAACTGACCTTCATCGCCCATAACAGGATCCATCAACCAAATTGCATCGGGGTTTGACTTTTTGAAGTTTCTATAATTCAATCCAACACATCTTACAGACTCCTTATTAGGTAGATAACCTGATAGAAATGCATCATAATCATATTGGAAGGTACTGAACAATCCACTTAATATATCATTCAATTCTTTTTCGGATGTAACACTACCAAAAACTTTATCCATTCCATAGCCTGTATGATTAGAAAATTGAACACTATTACAACAATCAACATCCCATCCTAGACATTGCAATGGGAAAGTAGCTGCCTTGTTCCCAACGTATCCATGAACAACATGAGATTGCGTTGCTAATACTCTTGGCATTGTATTAACTTCTGAATTTATTTCTTTGATGTATTCTTCAAATGAATCAGAAGTTTAGTTAAAGATACCCTTCAATTAAACCAGGATAATCTAATACAAGTTTAAGCAATACAATTCCAATTCAACAGAGCAATCAATCGTTAAAACGATTCTTTTATCCATATCTTACTTGACTCATCATGTTAGGTATGATTGATTAGTGTGCAACTTTTCATCGCGATATCGATTGCTATATTTCAAACAATTGAAAGAACTTCAAAGGATTTTGCATAAATTGTAAGAATAAGCTACAACAATGATACGCAACTTTTGATATTCTCTCTTTAATTTTGATCCAATTGATTGTAGATCTCATTCTTTGACTATATCCTTAATTATGAGTAAGTTCCTATCTTCTCCTTTGATTTCACAAGAGTACTTAGGAAATTGATGGTTATAAAACTTAATAATTGTACCAATAACAATAATGATCTCTTTACATAAGAACCATATTTGTAATTCGAGAAGGTTGATATATTCATAGAGATTCCATCATTGATTTGTATTTTGCAACGAGATTTGTAGAGACAGATTAACCATCTCTTCATTTATATATATATATATATTGGGTTTAGTAAAGACTTCTTTTATATTTAATCAAGTCTTGATCAACTATGCAATGACAATACGGTGACGTTATTAGTCTGTCATCAAGATTCTTTTTCTTTTAAAAGACAAGTAAACTTAACATTTTTATGTTTTATAATTAATTTTATGTAGTTATAGTGGTTCCATCAATTATAACATCAACTTTTTATCTGTTGCTTTAACCTATTACATCTGATGTTACCTACTTGAACGAAGTTACTACTATTCCTTCTGACATGATCATTTCAATATATAGGTAATGAATTAGGAATTGTAAAAACTGGGTATACTGATTGTTGCTTCAAAATAGATGTATTTTCAAATGTAGTTGATGTAATCAGGACTATATATATATATGAATTCAACCAATTGATCAATGTCGTCTTTAATCGTGTTAGTGGTATGATGAAACATACTAACTTTAATATGGTAGAATCAATTTTGAAGACTACTGTTATATCATAATTCCAACATATTATTATTATCGAGTAATATTTTACCTTTTCAATTAAAAAGATATCGTTATTTTAATGATTTTTCTTTTGCTGTCGCCAACATATATTACATACCAATTTTTGAATATTTTTATTTTAACCCAGGTTTTCAAATGAAATTAATTGTATTCCCAATCGAATACAAGATGTTCATTAATGTCCATTAAATCCTTTAATTCAAAACATTCAAGGAAGTACTCATAGCCTAGTTAATGTTCCACCCTTTAAGATAATCACTAGAGCATTGAACTATAAATATAATATTTTATTTACATTGATAGGGTGGTCCAATGAAACCTTCAATGACACATTGAATTTGATAAGATATTATTTAATCTATAACAAGAAGTCTACACTAATGAATAATGAAAACATGATTACAGAAGCTTCTTGAATGACATTTGTGATACCATCTCAAGATTGTTTCAAGTAGGTTTGATGTAAATGAAAAAAAAAATATCACTAAAGAAAAATCTTAAAGTCGAATATCTGCCTCCTCTAGCAATTGAAGTTGTTACACAATCGAATTGAAGTGCACATTGTTAGGGATTAAAGACACCTCAGAAGTGATTACTGGTCCCTATAGGCAACACGGATTAACATCAACAAGTTGTCTTCACGAATAATCTAACCATCTGATTAAACTTAAAAATAATATTCTCTTTTGCATTAACTAGAACAAGCGGGTGAATCAACTAGGCAAAGGGGTAATATTTTCAATCATTTTAACATTCGAACCTGTAATATTGATCAATCCTCTTTTAGGAATGTGAAAATATTGATATAACTAATCCATCACATTATCTTCAATAAGTTTGTTGATTCATTGTTGCAAAGAATCAGTTATAATTGATAAAATCGATAAATTTGTTCGAGATGTCATTGAAGATGTATTCGAGAGTGTGTATTTGTCCTACATCCCTCCCACATCCCCCACTCAACTATTATGTGTAGTAAAATTGAATCAATTGGCAATCATTAGGCCACAAGGAATCTTTTATATTTGTTCTTGTTTGGTTTCTTGATTTAAGATGGTTCTACCCTCTTGCATTCCCCAGCGTAATTAAATTAGGAATCCTCGAGAAACAATGTTATTATTATGATTAGTATATTGGGACTATAGATGTAACATCGACATATCTTGATCTACACAGATGATCCCAACTTCGTTAAGATGTTTTTACAATGGTATCTCATTGTTACATGTGAATTTAGCTTTAATTAATAACGTCTAAATAAGCATATTTATATATATATATATATATATATATGCTTAATAAATTATTTAGACAATATCTAATTAGATCCTGTGTCATTGGAATTTATAGAGGCTTTAGATACCTAGGGGACCTTTAGCTGAGTACAAGAAACTAATTCTTATCGATTGGGAGACGGTACTAATGATGTTAATTGTAAGACGCTGTTGGTTCCCTCCCGATGATATTATAAACAATAACTATCATTAGCTTAAAATCAAGACTTAATCCCTATTAATTGAAGGCCAATGAAGGGGATATAAGATTGAATCAAATTGAGTTATATCTACTTCCTGTACATAGCAATCATTGGGTTATTTTCCATTTCATTGTTAATAGATTTGTGTTTTTTTTTGTATTATTTGCATCATTGTCATCATTTTATATATTCTTATTTTAGCATGTATTATAATAAATATTATAACAATAAATTCCACTTTTTACTACGTTTTATATCAAAACCTTTTTAGCTTATATAAAGTAAGAAGTTTGCATATAAACTGATTTACTCTTTTATAATGAATATTAAATTGTCAATTATGAACATGACAGTTATCGATAAGGAACTAGTTGAAGTAGCTTCATCTAAAAGAATTTTTGTATAATCTTGCGAAATTGCTTGTATAACATTATATAAAATGTAATTGATAATATAAATCTATTTATAATTGATATTGAACTTTGTAATGGAGGGATATATGCAAAATTTTAAAGAACCATATTTTTTAGTTTTAAATTAATAATCTTTGAAAACAAAAAATATATCAACCTCTTGTAGCCCACCTTATCGAATTTATATTAATATGCATTATGAATAGCAGCTAAATCATTTTTAGCTTCTATTCAGTAAATATTTTAGTAGTCCTCTATCATTAATTTTAATTATTCATTTGATAAACTGTATTTAGAACTCTTACAATTACCAGTTAGAATATTCTTTGGGAAGCTATAACCAGCTTCTTCCCAACTGGTCAAATTAGGATTATGATAAGCGTTCAAATGGCTTTCAATATAATCATAAGTTGGATGACTATCTGGATCACAATCAATATTGACTGCGTTAGAAGGTTGATATAAACGAACATAATCAATTGACATTGTAACTGGGAAATAAATCGATTGCCAATCGATATAAGCCCAATTGTTAGAGATACCTAAATTCATGATAATCGACATTGGTTCTCTAGAGATATATCTCCAATCAATGTTACCATTTGGATGCAGTGCCTTCGAATAAATGGTAAATGTTGGTACGTCACCGACAAACCAACGCAAGTAACCATTTTCTTTGTCATTCAAATATTCAATAGCGTATTTCTGATAATAGCCACCTTCTGGTCCAAACTGGTACCAAGTGGTATTCAAAGTAGTAACAGCAGAAACAGCTTGTTGTAGAGGACCACCGCAATAGGAGTTCATTGTAGTTGTAGTGAAATTATAAATCTCAATAAATTCATAATCTGGAATATACCAAACATCAAATGGCGCAATTTGTAAAGATTGAGAAGCAACACCAACTCCTATGGTTGTATCAGCTTCAGCTTCTAAAATATCAATTTCTGGAGCACCTCTACCTGTACCCTGATTTGGATGATCTTCTCCATCACAAGTACAAACACTTAATCTTTGACCAGGCAAATAGGAGATACCATCAAATGAACTTTGATTTGGTGTAATACCAGCATCACAACCTTCATAACTATATGGCCATAAACCTTCTGTAGAACCTAAGTAACCTGGTCTTGCAAGGTTACCCATTGTCCATAAACCTGGCCACAACCCAGTGACACGACCATAGTTTGGTAAATTGGCAGAGACCTCTAAAGCACCTTGAGTAAAACACATTTTATTCCAACTTTGAACCATACCTGATCTATAGTACAGATCATGATTTTTAAAAGCGTCCATTCTTAATTTCAGAGTACCGTTTTTAGTAGTGACAGCATCTGGAGAATACCATTCCAAATCCTTTGTTGCATCATAGTGAATATCAGGAGCAGTCCAGAATTGGTCATCACCATCATAGAAAGTTCTTCCTTCAGCGTTAAATTCATCAGAGAATACAAGTTTCCAACTTGAACCATCTTTGGCGGTTCTTGTCTTAGCAGTAGAAGGTGTATCTGGATCAACCAAAGAGGTTCTAATACTAGCTAGTTGTGGGTATTGGTATGCTGTTAGGTAGTCAGTAACGTTTCTAGGGGCAGGTGAAGTATGATCTATAACACCTGTGAAAGTTACAGCAGGTAGAACGATAAAGATGAATATACCAGCCATAAATAAAAAAATTATACCTACCCAACCACCAGCTGATCTTTTATCCATGTGTTTGAAATCTTCAGAGAATCTTTTTCTGTCCAATCTTGCTTCTTCTTCAGGATCAGGATTGTGTAAGTAATCGTCATCTTCTTTCTCGTCGATGTGTAAAGGGAAAGAAGTTGCTGGATAACCACCAAATGGAGAGAAATCTTGTTCAGGAACGAATGGATTTGAAGATGACAAGAAAGATGAGTTTGAGACCATTCCTGGCGAACTTGAGTATGCTCTTTGGCTACTGCCATTACCGTTTGGGTTAGGAGTTCCCATTGCTAAAGATCTGTTACCTGATTGAACCTGTGGGTATCTATCGAATTGGGGTGGTGATAATATATCATTTGTTGATAGACCAGTATTTAAAGAAGTTGAAGAACCACGAATATTTGAGACACCACCGTTATTTGAATTTAATAAATTATTGGTAGAATTTGGAGGATGCATATAAGAAAGATCCATATTACTACCATTATTATTGTTAATATTTGCATCTATTCTGCTTGTATTTTTTGAGTAATAACCTTGATAATCAGAAACATCAGGGTTAAAAGAAGTATTAATGTTTGAATCGACATGGTGTTGAATTAAAGAATCTTCACTATTTTCATTAGTATTATTATTGAACCTCATTGAAGATAGAGAATTTTCACTATCTTCCTGTAAAAATGGGTTCTCATCACGATTATACAAATCGTCTACTGACTGATTATTAGTCAAATTTCTTCTAGCCATGATATACGAGATAATGTACTATATTCCTCCCACTGAACAAAACGTATTATTTCCTTAAAAAATGTGAACTGTTAATATTTTCTTTGATCTATGCCTTGTCTAGGAATATAACATATATATATATATATGTATATGTATATGAAGGTACGATAGTTATATGATTAATGTTCGTGATAACTTTCTTAAAAACTGCAAAACGAAATCACAAATTAATACTTTTCCTAATTTTGGATATCTTTCGAACAGCTACCTTAATGAAGACTAAAAATCTTTTTTGATTTGTCTATTCACAGTCCTTCTGTTATAAACTAAAAATATTTTTGAACTGTAAAGGAAGTAAAACCCAGCTCGAACCAAGAAATAAAACTTATTGATGATATACAATCTTCAGGAATCAATATATAAATCAAAGCCAATTGCAAAGAAAAAAACTATTTAAAACAATTCCTCGACTTAGAATATATAACGCAATACGCTCCAAATTAAGATAACCTTTTACCAATATCACCAATAATGATTTTAAATCAAATGATAAAATTTCCAAATGCTAAAATGCTAAAGATTAATTAATGTTAAATTCGAATTATAAATTGCTATTATCTGTAATATTAATATCTTTTTTTTTTATTTTATTTTATTTAATGGATTTAATCTCAAGTCTCACACTCTCTCTTTCTCTTTGGCTTTCTCTTTCTCTTTCTCTCTCAGGATTGCTTTTGGATTACTTGCTTTACCTCTTTGACAGTTAGATCATATCATGTATGTGTGCAATGGATGTAATGGGATCAAAAATGAAAACTGGCAGGAGCCCAAAGGCATTTGGTGTGTAAATTACAAAAATTAAAATAAAATTTAAAAGAAGAATCTTCAAAAAGAAACGTGTATCTTCGAAATTGCAAAAAAAGTCGCGAGAATTTACGAAGAACAAGCTGCACAACGCCGAAATGAATTAAATAAAAAAAAAAAATAAAAAAATTTTAGGTTTCTTTTTTTGGAAACGCGACACGAAACTTAAACACTATTTTCATTTCTTTTTCTTTCCCTATTCCAGTTCGAAAAGAGTAAAATACGCCAAACTGACCTGACATATAATATATTATAACCTGGTATATAATAATTGTGCTATAACACGCTATACCTTGCTGCAATATAACGCCTGTCTTGTCTTTGAACACACACCATCTTGGTCTCTTCTAGTTCAAGTACACTGCAAGGCAAATGATATCTGTGTGTTTCGAAGTAGTTTCGGCAAAGACCGTCCATTAAGTTTGTGCTCTGGTACCGACTGGTCTGTATATCAAGATACGTGCTTGTATGTAGCAAGATTATATGTTGATTTTTTGGTTATTGTTGAATCTCCCTTTCCTATTCTTGTTCTTTTTTTGAGGGATGGTGGTGGTGGTGCTGCTGCTTGCTGATGGTACAGGATTTAAGATTCATGCAAGTGTGAGATCAGAGCCTAGTGAGGGTCAAACTGCAGCCAAGAATAATTTGAACAGTTTGAATAGTAGAACTTGTATACATATATGCTATTTTAACCTTGAAATTGTGTTATATTTAGTTCTGAAATACTTTACCTCCGTCAAGGATTAGTTATTTCAGCCGCGAAATAGCATCTCTGTCACCCGGATCTCACTCTTGTATCATATCTTACTATAATTGTAGCTACACTATACTACGCTGTACACTATATGAACTATTTAGAAATTAAGTTATTAGTTGTTTCTACAAGTTGTATCTAACGGCATTAAGATCTACGTTCATCGTGGTTTATGAAGATGAGACCTCTCACATAGTGTCCGTCTATTATTAGAATATGTATTGATTTATTGAAATATATTTATTCATTTGGTTACAGATTAGCAGATTAACTGATTGATTGATTAATTAATTATTCAAAAACGTCTCGCAGCTTCAGGAGCCTTAGAGTTGGGTTTCAGATTGGTCGAAAGGTACTCCATGAATGTCATTGATTTACTACCAACCGTTGTTGCTGAATTCCTTATATTTATTTTGCACACATATCGAAGGTATCCTTATCTTATCCCTAATTATAATATAGTCGTACAAAATACTCTTCTCTAGTACCATTTGATTACTTTCATCTCCTGAAATACAGATCTCACTTGTTCCAACCCAATCATCTTTATCTACGACTCTAGTCTTGTCTTTATCTGTATCATCATTTTCAAGTTGGAACCCTATTGACCCTCCTGGATGATTCTTATTGAAAAATCTCAATCTTGACTCGTAATCATAATTATAATACACTTCACTCATACTCATTACAATACAATCTAGTACAATTAACATAGATGATGTAGATATAGTAGGGGTCTTTAATCCTCTTTGTAATATATCTTCTTTAATATATTGTTTGATTACTATTTTATGATCGCATATACGTGAAACTGTGCTTTCTTCTTTACTAGTTATACCAATAGTGGTAATTGCATTACAGGACCATACTTTATGAACCAGTTCAATAAATTTAATTACTTCTAATGTCTCACCTCCATGTGAACACATCCAGATTACATCACCTTCCCTAATAACACCCATATCACCATGGATAGCTTCAATTGGGTGCAATAGTGTACTACTCATACCTAATGAGTTTAACATGACTACAATTTTACTGGCAATCTTATAGGATTTTCCACATCCAACTATAATTACTTTACCACCAGTCTTCAAACTCTTGCTACTAATTTCAATTATGTTTTCGATGTCTTTACAAGTTTCCTCATCTTCATAGTAATTTCTCAATAAATATTGAATTTGAGCACAGTTATGATACAAAAGCTCCCTGAAACTATTCAACATATTAGTATCGTGTATTGGCTATCCTATATCTACCAATATAGACAGACGTCACTTACTTTGAAATTCAATTTTAACAAAACTATTCATCATGTTCGATGAAGGTTTCTAGCCTTACCAATTTTATATATGGGGTTTTTTATTCAAACTCCGGAAATATTTCATAATATGCTCAATTGTCAACACATGTGACATAAAGACAGTCTATACAAAAATTGCAATTAACAGATAATGAATTGATTGTAACACTTATAAAATGATTGTATTATTATATTTAGTGTAAATGTATATTTTCTATTTACCAAAATTATATTTATATATCTTCTAGAAGTACATTTCCAGAAGGAGACCTTTTTAAAGACTCCCTGTAACGGTTATCTTCTTCATCTTCAATATCTTCTAATGAAGGGGTCGATGAGCTTCTTCTTTTACTTTCAGAAGCATTTGAGAGTGTAGTTGTTAATTCATCATCAGATTCTAGGACAGATTCATCTACAGTTAATGTTTTCCTTGGAGCATCATTTTTAAACATTTCATTTAGCATCTCCCTTTGCTTCTCAAGGTCAATTTGTCTCTTTTCTTCATTTAGACGAGCTTCTTCTTCTTTCTGTAGTTTCAATGCCTCTCTTTGAAGTCTCTGTTGTCTTTCTAATTCCTTGAGTTCAGCTTCTTGTTTTCTTTTCAATTCAGCTAACTTCAATTCTTGCTGTCTTAACAACTCTCTTCTTTGTTGTTCTTTCCTTTCTATCTCTTGTCGTCTTAATTCTTCCTGGCGACGCAATTGTTCTTGTCTTTTCAACTCCTCTTGCTTCTTCAATTCTAACTTGCGAAGCTCTTCTTGTTCCTTCAATTCTTGTTGTCTTTGAAGTTCTTGTTTCTTCAATTCTTGTTGTCTTTGAAGTTCTTGTTGTCTTTTTATTTCATCTTGTTTCTTTAATTCTTTCTTGATCTTCTGTTTTTCAATCATATATGCTTTCTTTTCACAAATTCTTTTTTGGCGTTCGTCATTTTCACCTTGAACTTTAACGTCTTCCTTTTTCTTAGAGATGGTGGTTTCATCAGTCAATTCTTGTGCTTTCTTATGTGACCAAGCAATTAACTTATCCAAACTTAATTCTTCATCCCTTCCTAGAATAGGAATAGAAAAGGTAGATAGTTTTTGAGTTTCGACTGATTCATTTTTTAAGGAAATTTCAATTTTCAAAACAGCTAATTTATCAAAACGGTGATTGCCATCAACAGTACTCAAATCAGAAACATTGATATCTTCGATATTTGGAATAGAGAATACTTTGGAAATACCTAAATTTTCATTAGCAACATGTATTTCATTACCTAAATTATTCAACTCAATTTTAAAATTCTTGAACGCTATTTTAGCAGCTTTTTTGTTTACAGAATTAATATCCAATGTATTCATAGCTTCACGCCTTAATTCAAATTCATTTAAATTTTGTTCAACAAGGTACTGGTTACCAAATAAATCTTGAACTACCTTATAACCTGGTTTATTTAATTCAGCTTCAATTGCTGTCAATTGTTCAACTAATTCTCTTTTATAAACATCTTCTGGTATATTAGCATATAATGATAAAATCAATTTATTGTCAGATTTTTGAATAATATCATATTTCAGTTCAGTATTTTCAGCCTTTTGTTGATGACAATATCTTCTGAATCTTTCTTGTTCAACTATTCTGTCATTAAAAAAAGGATTGAAAATTGGAGCAGTTTCAAAAATACATGGAGGTTGGAATGCTTGAAACATTGTTGAAATAATATGAATGTGTTTCTTAAAATGTAGTTTTACCCTTAATTGGTATTTGTTCGAATCGATAATATTCTTTGATGCTATTCTTTCAATATAAAGAATAAATATAAAGTAAAATATAGCATAAATTGCGAATTTGAAAACTGTAATTGAGAAGTATTAAGATCACATCCTTTTATACCTTTTGGATTTATTGTTCACCATCTACATTTGTAAGCTTTTATCAAACCATCTAACATTAATAATCATTTCAATGTATCCTAATGATTAATTCTTCTATAACCTTCTTAAAGTTTCGAATACCTTTAGCCTCTTTCTATGGTATGCGGGAAATGTCTATATATCGGAAAACCTTCCCTTTTCCCTTCCCGCATATTGTACAAAATTCTAGAAACTTCCAGAAATAAATTACGTAATAAAGGTTAAAAAACCAAATGAGTATAGCAATAAAGGTTCGAATAGTAACAGAAGGATAATGAAACCGTTGACTAAGTTAATTAATCACGGTTGTCAGTGCTTTGTTAACACTTTTATGCAATTGAGAGGTTATAATATATATTACAGTTGTTGGTAATTAGTCCCGTATTAGATTGCAAACGAAAAAAGGAAACCATATAGTTTATAATACTAACAAGGGAGGGGTATTGTAATATGAGCCATTCAAAACAATCGATAGTTCGTAGATCTCATGAAGAGATTCATATTAATGGATTTTATTTAACCAGTAAAAAAATCCATTATAAAACAGAGGATTCCTCTCCAGGTAAGAAATCTTAATATTCCTCGGAACCACTTAGGTCTAATCCAATATAGAAGAACACCACAATTATCACCAATTAAATCATTCTTTTCCGCATTCAGTCCATTACCTTTCTTTATGAACCTTCTTGCTGGACAGCTATTTAAAAAATTCCACCATTTAGTGCTCTGACATAACGACATACGTTCAATGTTCTTGTATAAAGGCCCCGTCGGTCCATCGATATATTTCCATTGTACTGGACACCAACGTTGTCTAGGATCTTTCCAAGCTAATTGTTTATCACCCCAGGTCCCATGATACTGTAACCATTGGATTCCCAATTTCTCTTCTTTCTCACTGGATGGAATAATGTTCGTTCCATCAAACACATATGAATAATAATTTAATACAGGATCCCACATAGGACCACGATCTGTAAAATCACTTAACGGCATAAAGAAGAATGGTACATCATGAGGATGTTGGCCTGTTGAGGCATAATTAGCATGTGTGCCTCTAGCACTAAATATTACAGGTCTTTCAATCAATTCTGACGTCAATCTACCATTCACATGTCGTAGTTTTTTGATCTTTTCTATAGCTTCAAATTTATATGCTGTTCCACCACTATGTGCACTCATCCAAAGATATTTAGGTTTACCTTTATAAAATCTTACCAAAGAATGTTCCCAATCACCAACGTGATTTCCCCATGGACCATATCCCATTATAAATGGTCCCCAATTAAACGGATAAAAGTAAAACCAAAAAGCATCTACCCAGCCATTACCTTTATCAACTGCAAATAGAATAACAGGCCCCTTTTTAATATGGCCAGTACCATATTCTGGCTTATGTCCTAATAGCCATTTTGGATCATTGTCAAAATTATCTAAACTTGTCATATAGGTATCTTCACTAGAAATGTAATATTTAGAGCCATTTTTAAAGTTTATTTTATATCCAGAGTTTAAGTCTTTTAACTTTAAGGGATCATCATTACTAGCATTGATTATGACATTACCATTACCATCGTTTATAGAAAAATGAGTGACATAATCTTCAATATCAGAAGGCCAATACCTCTCCTCACTGTGCAAATATACCACTGGGCAGTTATCCACTATATATGACGGTATTGAACCATTTTTAGGTAAACTTCTATTATCATCAGTAATGTCATCTGGGTCTAACAAAGGGGGGAGTAACCAATTATTGGATGAATCTTCTTTTTGAATAGTTATAAATGGGTCATGGAACAACCAAGATACTGGAGAAGCCAAAATAAACCCATCAATCACAATTATCGCCAACAAAAGAAGGCTCTTAAGTCCAAAACTTAACTCACCTAATCTTATCAACATCGGCTTAAATAATATCTTCTAAATTCACCAAATTTTCACTAAATTTTAACCTGCAAAACCTAAAGCCTCTTGAATACTTTAATTAAATAAAAAAATAGTTACTAATAATATACTGTCTTTATCTCATTGTAGGTAAATTCATATATATCTCTAAATATAAGTTCATCAAACCTTTAAAGGTTCGTTAATATCAGCAGAAGTCCTCTTCTTCTTAATATCAAAAATATGTCCGAGATTGATTTATGAAATAAAACAGATATATAAGATGAGGTACCAGTTAAACTAACGATAAATACATGACTCGACTGCAGGAATCATCAAATAATATGAATACAATCTAATATTGTTGAAAAATGTATGGTTAAAGACTTAGGTTTATGTTATATCAAGTATCTCTCAAGATTGATTAATGAGAATGGCATCTAATGTATGTATCCAGAGGTTGTAAACGGAAATTCCATCACAGAAGGTATAAAATAAGATACAATACAATGGGGTTAATATTTTCATTATTATTTGAATGAAATGAATTGTACATTGCTATTATTATCAATGTACTGGTAAAACTTCATCTTTATACTGCGTTACTTGTAACCATCTTGTTATTACGCCTGATATTTATTACTGGATAAGGTTATTAATTTGAATTAAAAAGTCAGGACCAGATAATAAAATAATATTCTTGGAACAATGAAGCTAAAATCTGTAGCAATTCTAGAGATAATTCACAAGGTTTCTGGTGTTTCTATCCTACTTTTATAGAAAAACAGTACCTGACTTATTCTTACCCATTTGTTTTTACCAATAACTATATATATAAAAAAGTGGTTAAAAATTAATAGATTAATCAATGACCAAAGGGTTTAACAATTTGCTGATTGAAGGTTAACATATAAGAGACAGTTTGAAACATACTTGGTGTCGGTACCTGCTGCAATTGTTGTTGTGAATATATGTAGTGATGCTTACTGATACTTTTTGTTTCCATGCTATACAAGTTATTAATGGGAAGTTAGAGACTGCGTTAGAACAGATTTCGTTGCACCCTGAGATTTCTGAGATAGATGCCCTTTCCAGTGTAGATCTACAACAGCTTCAAGATCAATTGGCTCGTATCAAGAAAATTGCCGAGTCTGTATCATCTCAGATCAGCAAGAAGACTGGTAAGAAGGTTAAAGTCGATTTTAATGCTGTAAAGGAGGTCATTCTGAATATCGAAAGTTTGCCTAAGACTTCGAATCCATTGCAAGAGTTAATATATAATGCTATCTCTGAATATGCAATTGTACTATGTTACCATGGTTTGACCATTGAAACGGTAAGCTCTTTGATAATAGCCAATGATGTCGGTGCTTATTATAAGTCAGTGGCAGACTCAAGTATGTATACTTTATTATACGGTATCCAAGTTACTCCTAAGTTGGTAATCTCCCTTATTAATGATTTAGTAACTAAGATAAAAACCAAATTACATCGTTTAGAGAGTAACCATCAATTTACAATTGCCAGTGCAAGAGGATTCACAAATGATATAATTGAAGAAATTCGACCAAAGATAAATAATATCATGATGGTACAGTCCCTGAATATTGTTGGATTGCCTAATAAAACTTCCCAAAGAATTAAAGTAATGATCAATTTCCCAAGATTATTAATAAGATCCTCACTACATAAAAAAATAGAAAACATTGACAGTATCTCTAGAAATTATACTATTAAATTAGGTAATATTATTAATGAATTCCAAACTAATAAAAATGAAATAGTTATTGATGAAAACATAAAAATATTACAAAACTTCTTAGAGGTTCCAAACACTGGTTTATATGAAATCATTGACCATGTCAGTGGATTTTGTAAAAACAATGAATTAAGGAAACTGAAAAAGCCTTCAAGGTTAACCAGATATTGGCCAGGAACATTGTTTAGTCTAGTTTATGGCTCCTCATCGATAATTATGATCTGGAATTCACGTTATAAAATCATTGAATTTCTTCAAAAGAATGTCGTTGAATTCATGTCTGGCTTAATTCATGATTGGATATGGCAACCATTAAAGCAAGTCTGGGCGACAGTTAGACATGATGAAGATACATATATTGCAATGATGTCTAAAGATATGTTGCCTTCTGAGTTAAATTCATTAACAAGAATGGTTGTTAGTTTTGTTGCAGACAATTCGAAAGTTGAAATTAATGTACCTGAACTAACTAACCAAATTGAAGAAGGTAATCTAACTCAATTTATGGAAATTTATGAGAATCAATTAGAACATCCCGTTAAAAACCTTGTAAAAGGGAAATTGATTAGATCATTGCTAATTCAAGTTCAAAAAACAAAAGTCGATGGTTCCTTAGCTTTGAATGGTATTGACAAAATGCTTAAATCACAACAATTGGTATTTGAAGTATTAGCCATATCTCCAGCATTGCTAATAATGTATTCATTGGTTCATTTCGCATACAAACTAGTAACTTTAGGAAGCATTTGGACTAATTATCAAAAGATTAAGATGAAGTTGACTACGAGTATTAATACTGTTGAAAGAATATTAAATTATGAAGATATTGAAGATAACTTGGATGATAAATTTTATCATCAGGGCTTGTTAACAATCGAAGTATCTAATATGTTCAAAATTGGTTCAAGAATTATACCAAAATGGAGAAAAGATGAATGGAGAATTGACGTTGAAGAATTGATAAATTACAATTTGAGTTGCAACTCCAGGTTAAATGTAATCAATAGAATATACCATGTATACGGAAATTATTTTTGAACTATGTTAACTATTTAAACATTAAAACCACGTCTAGAAGCTAATGTACAAAACTACGTAAAGATATCAAAATTATGAATAAAATTATGTAAGAATTTTTAAATATTCCTTTTAAATTGTTTAATATTATTAAAATAAAAAACATAACATAACCAACTTAATCCAAAAGGATTATTATCTAATTATTATCTATATAAGGGATTGTTAGAAATTAGTGATTGTTGTAAAGTATTCAAAAAAAATTAAGAAGAATGAAAGCCAGTGTATAACGTAACAATGATGAAGAGAAAATGGATTATATTTACTATTCTATTAATAACATAGTATTAATTCCAAATTAGAAGATACTGTTAACCAGATCAGAACCTAAGGTGGCACCAGCACCAAAAATAGCCGCATTACCCAATTTACTACCAAAACTCTTAAAATGTTTAGAAGCATTATGCTGATGTTGTTGTTGTTGTTGTTGTTGTGGTTGTTGTTGCTGTTGCGGAGCTTCCTGCACAACAACCTGTTGAGGAGCCTGTTGTGGAACCTGCTGAGGTGGTGGCTGTTGATAGTAATTAGTAGATACAGGAGGGAAAGGTTGCTGTTGTTGTGGTGGAGGTTGGTAGGAAGACTGATAAGATTGGAATGAAGATACCGATTGTGAGTGTTGTTGATATTGTGGAGGGGAAGTTAAATGAGAACGAGATTTTTCATTTGAACCACCTGAGAAAGCAGGTTTGACATAATTTGATGGAAACACACCTACTTTACCATTACATTTACCTTTATACCATTCTGGCGATATTTTTTCCAAGACTTGGATCTTATCACCAGGTTGTATAGCTAAATCACCATCTTGCTGTGGGTCAAAACGATAAATAGCTTCTACATATTCTAAATTTGGGGAACTGTTATTGGTAGCCAAACTTTCTCTTGAAGGATCATGTCTGTCTGGCAATAGATTATTTATTTGATCGAAAGCCTCACCAGAGATTACATTTGAATCTCTTAGAAACTCTAATTCAGTTTTGACTGAAGTCAAAGAACGATTAATAGAAGCAGAAGACATAACCTAAATTCTAAAAGTTAAATCGAGAAGCCAAAAAAAAAAATTCAGATATATTAAATATTAGATTCACCAGTTGATAAAATCAAATGATCTGAAAATAAAACAAAGAACACAAGTCAAAAAAAATAATTAGATATATTGTAATGGAAAGTTCTATGCTGTATTGAATAAACCTTTTTATAGAAATACCTAATCTGCAGGGATGCTTAATATAATCCTTTCGTTGCCTTTAATCTATCGCTGATAAAAAGTTTGACAAAGGATTAAACTCTTGGGATAAACTATAGAATCTAACAACGTGCTTTTTCACAGACTTTGATTTAAATTTAAAATTTAAATAATAAACTTGTAATGTGATATAAAACCAGCTGTCAATAAGTAGTTGTTACGTTCTTCCTCCTTTAAAATCAGAAGTTACCATTGTAAAAAGCCTCGATTATAGCAATAACCGTTCCATTGATGATGAACTCATAATTAAATGATGGATGATACAACCAGACCACCGTTGAGCAACGAGGCGTAAAAATGCCATGACGTCATACTTCTTCTCTCTTATTTTTTTTCTTTTTTTTCTTCGAATTGTATCATATCTGTAGTCACGTGATCATCTCTGGTTCTTCTATTAAAAAAATTAACCACGTGACTTGGCTTTGAACCATCATATAGGTACATTAATATATATACTTAGATGGTTGGTCATTAGTCTCACTTACTGTATCATCATAACGATACTAGATGAAAATTTAAATGCTCTCTATTTCTACTTGCATTCATTCATGTCTTGGTAGTTTCTGATGTTTTTCCCCATGTTTCTCAACGCAAGTTTCGACATTTAGACTTTGGGTTCTTGTAGGCCAAATGATGAGGAAGAATTAGTAACAATTGTAATATTTGTGTAATTACATGACCATACCACCAAGTGAAAAGCTGCTACATAGATCAAACAACACTTGTGTAATTGCACAACATAGTGGGATCCACGTTGACATTGCAAACAGACCTGATATGTAAATTTGACTAACTAGATATCCTGTAACTGTTCCAAAGACGACACCTTGTGCACAACCTATGAAAAGATAAATCACCATTATCCATAAACCACCAGCTCTCTTGCGATGTGTGTAACTTGCCATCAAGCCACTTATTAGATAGAACCCTCCATTGAGAATCACACTCCAATATACTGTAAACTCCCAAATGGTCTTTGTATCATACAGATAAGATACGTGATACTTCTTACTTGATATTGGCCAATACAGTGAAGGAAATGGTGGTTTATGATAACCAACTGGTATATCTTCACTTGTCAAGAAAGATGATCTATTCTCATTGAATTTATTCAATAATAATTTGGTTAGTATAACTTGTAACTTGCGATGTATCTATATAGATACTAGGCCAATGTGCCTAGAATTAATCAACATACCTCATTGAAAGGGAACTAGAAGATTGTGTTAGTTATAACACTTTGTAAGTTGTGTCTTCCTTGAATCTATCTGTCAGTATATATATATATAAGTTGATGGTGCATCTTTGTATAATATATGTATATGTGTGTGGCTATAGCATTTCTTTGCTATTGTTTGCGTAAGTTACTGTGCTGTGTGTTGTTCTCACGTTTAGATTGTAAAAGCACACGGAATGCAAGATGAGATCAAAATTGGATCAATCAGGAAAGGGAGTGATAAGAAACGGGTAATGGTTGGTTATGTTTATGATAACTTACAAAGTGTATTTCATTAAATATATATTATGTATAATAAAATATGAATTACTTATATTTTATATTTTCATGTGAGTTAGATGGATATTTGTTGGAAGAATTCAGTTAAAGTGAATTGAATGATTTATAATTTTTTATTTTATTTTATTTTATTTTATTTCATTTCATTTCAATATCGTCGTCATCATCTTCTTCGCCTTCTTTTTTAGTAATGCCAGTCTTCAAAAGTAATTGTTTGATTTCTTCAGGTTTAAATATTTTTTGATATATTTTATCGTTTTCACCTTTTTTAATAGTTGCGAATTCTACTCTATCGTAAGTCAATGCACTGCTATCTGTGGTTTTGGATAAAGTTTTCAAAGCCAATTCTATAGCTTCATCTACTTTGATGTCATCTTTATAATCCATTTGTAATAGTGTTTGTGCAGCAGAAGTGTTTGCACCCACGCTGATGGCTTTCCAACCGGTATAATTACCAGATGGATTAGAAGTATACAATTGATAACCATATCTATCATCATAACCAGCATAGATAAATGAAACACCAAATGGTCTCAGACCACCATGTTGGGTGTAACCTTGTTTTATATCACTTAATCTTCTAACCAAAATTTCAACTGGAATTTCTTCATTATAGGTTTTCAAGTATTCTTGAGCATGTACCCTTGCTGTATTTATTAAAATTTCAGCATCTGCAGTTAAACCTGCTACTGCCACAGTGATCTTGTCATTTAACCTATATATCTTTTCTGTCGAAGTGTCTTGTTCCAACAATGTACTTGTGACTTTACGTTCAGCAGCAAGAACAATACCATCAGAAGCCATGATACCAATAGCGGTACCGGCATGAGATATTGACTCTAAAGCATATTCTACTTGGTAAAGTCTTCCTTCAGGGGAGAAAATAGTAGTTCTTGAATCGTATCTTCTAGAACCCATCTTTTATTTTCAATTATAATGTGTGTGTGTGTGTGTGTGTGTGTAGGTATTTATCGATTTTTATTTTATCGAACTATGTCTTGTATTCCTTCTTCGTAAAATAAATCTGACAATTCAATCCTAGAGGGAAACTCAATCTAATAAATATTCAATTATGTCAAAATGAACCTTAATTTTTTTTTTTATAATATAAAACAAACAAAAAAAAAATTTAAACGCAGATAATGGGGGCAAAACAGGATCTCACCAAACAAAACCAACAATTCCTTACGACGTGTACACCTCAATTGGCAACTACTGCAATCTTCAAACGATGAATTGGTTACTTCCAGATACACTTTATCTTTATTTAAATTAAGTGTTAATATCCTGAGATTCTAACTTTATATAATAACCTTTATATATTTAAATCGAAACACCTTTGCCACCCATCGGGGAAAAATGTTCGTGCTTAATGATTTATTCTAATAAGTTCAGGGTAACTTAATCCAATTTAGCATCGCTACCATATGGATATGGCGCTATCACATATAAATTCTTCTTTTCTTTTTCCTTTGAAATGTCTGAAATTTCATTGATCCCTGAGAAGGTTTAGTAGAGCCATACAAACAGAGACAAGACTAGACAAGACAGTCAAATAAGATGAGATGGATCAACTGTCAAATTGTATCTACAAGACAAAGAATTGATGAATAGAATAGAATTCAATTCTATTCTATCTAAACTTGTCAAATAATTGATCTGGCAGTAATGTCTTTAGTTGGTGGGGAGGTTTTAAACTAGATTGATAAAGGTTCAGTTTATTTATTTTAGAAAATAAAAGAATAAAAACGTTCAATGCCAGTTAAAATTTGGAAAGAGTTCAATGCACCAGATGGAAGGAAATATTACTATAATATAAAATCGAAGGAATCTACTTGGACTAAACCTGACAGTCTTTATGATACTGAGAAGGGCAAGGTTGGGTCAGACAGGGCAGGTGCTCCTTTGTTTGTGTTTCCTTTGCTAAATGGTTGGCATTTAATCATATGTGTCGGTGGTGAAAAATATTATTATAATAAGGTGTTGAATGATACCATATCCAAGGAGTTAAGTGATGATTCTAGTTTGCAATTGTTGAATGCTGTGGATAAAGATAAATTGATTTTGTTAATAGCGGTAGCTAGAGGATACAATTGGCCAGATTATGAAAAACTTTACGATGAACTGCTTAAAGAATTTGAACTGATATCAAATGATATGATGCAAACCCAACAAGCTGAAGTCACTTCAACAGAAGACGAGGACGAGGACGAGGATGAGAATCAAGAAGGAAATGTAGTGGCAGTATCCAATACTGGATTAATCGGAGGTTATTTATCTTCAGATGACGAAGAGTCTAGTGACGAAAATCAAGTGGAAGTAAGTGAGAATACAAACATTGAGGAAGATCTTGCGAAAAGAAGTGATCAAAATGATGTTGATGAGAATTTGAATTCAATAGATCATGGTCTGGATTCCTTAGACGATATTGACTTGGAAAAATCAAAATCACTATTCACTAGATTATTCGAAGAATTTCAACTAGACCCTTACTCTAGTTGGAGACTCCAACTCAAAAAAATCCAAAATCATCCTGATTATTTTCAAATCACAGATAACTCAACAAGGGAAGAACTATTCGAATCATGGTGTTCATCAAAGTTCAATGGAGGAAAGTCAAACGTTACAAATTTTGAAGGGGAAGATGAAGAAACCCTTACTAGCGATGAGGAAGATGATTTCGAACCCACGAAATTTCATTACCTAGCACATATTATCTCTAAGGCAGATATCGCTGCAGACACGATCTTCCTCGATATTAAAGAAAATAATAAATCGTTGTTTAAAGAATTTAAAATTAAAGACTTTATTAAATCTAAAAAAGACCAAGAAGCATTTTCGTCAAAATTGTTGTTTTTCTACAAGAAATTTCAACTAAATGAAAGAAAGAATTTATTCTTACAGTTGTTGAAGGAAAATGAAAATTTGATAATACCAAATATTAATTCTAATATAGAAATTGTACGACATATAATAAAAAATGATGTGGACGAAGCTTATGAAATTGAAACACAATTACTTCAAATAGAAAAAATAATAGGATTGCAAAATATGTTGGTGGACTTAGCCAATGATCCAAAATACTATATTTTGGGAATTAAAGATAAACTGATTCTCCTTAAAGAGTATCTAAAAGATAAAATTTAATAAGTCTAATAATAATGCAGGAGAAATGTTGTAATGTTACATACTCTCATATATCTCTATATTTATATAAAAGTAATCAAGCTTAATGAACGATTATGGATGCAAAAAATATTCTATTCTTATACAGCTTTGCCATATTCAGTTAAATAGTCGTGAAAGCTAAATGGTTTTTCGGAGTCTTGCAAGGGCAAGATTTCGTCGGACTGATGAATAATCTTTCTACACATTGTAGAAACTTCTGAGTCAAATGAGTAATCCTTAATGTAATCTCTAAATGTATTAAAAATGATATTTTCCTCTTTACCTCCAAAAGTTGGCGGAATTAGTTTTAACAATATTTCATTATATTTATAGCTCTCTGAATTTTTGTCGACTAATTGTTTATGAGATTTGGTTGAGGCACCTTCTATACTAGCTAGTTCTGAATTTTCTACATGGGAAAATTCGCTTAAAGATGAATTGATCTTGAATGACAATTCTTTTGCCTCAGGTAAGATTGAAATCCATCCCATTAACAAAGTTTGTAATTCAAAGACACAATCTGATTCGTTTACATTGAATTTGCTATTCTCAATCAATTTTGAAACCATTATACAAATTAATTTCATTAACCCAACAGAATATATAGAGTATCCGCCCTCATTTTCCTCGTCAAATTCTTCTTCTTCTGTAGAATAATCTGGAGTTAAAATAGATTGGTTGGACTTCCTAGCTTTGTCAGAAAAATATATCGCAGCGTTGGTAAATAATTCTTGTAAAATCATTCTTGTTTCTAGCTCGGATAATTTCAGATGACCCATTCTTGAAAATTTCAAACTGTTGCTGTTAGAATCTGAGATATTCTCAGTAATGAAGGTACTCTTAACATTTTTACTTGTGTCGGTCTTATTTATTCCTCTACTTCCCATCATCAGGTCAAAAATATAAATTATTAATGAATGGCTCAATTCCATATGTGTGATAAACCAGATTAGTACTCTTCTATACCCACTACACATTAACATTTCATCCATTAGCTTCCAAGCTAAGTCGGGGTTGAAGTGGAGTATTCTTTCAAATGCAGATTCCTCACACCAAATTTCGTATATATCATCAGGCGTGGCTTCCTTCTTTGTATCCTCATGTTCATCTGCAGTTGAAGATTTATCTTGTTCTAATAAATTGCCAAATATCATACGATCTTGTTCATTCTTAACAGTAGAGGCGACACTACATAAAAGCAAAGCAGCCTCTTCTTTTGTCAACTTTTCGGAAGTTGCCTTCAAAGTCAATACAAACACTGTATTCAAATCTGGACGATCTATAAAATTATAGAATGGAGAATAATAAAGATTATATTCACGCGGTATATCTCTCCAGTCTTTACCGCTATAGTCAAATTCAAAATTACTCTTGGATCTAACAGCGTGAGGCTTTGAAAGCTGGTTCGATAAGCCAGAGTCGGATTCAATGGTCTTTTCTGTATGTTCTTTTGATTTTGTCGCTATTTCTCCATCGATATCAGATGTTTTCTCCACATCACTTTCTTCTTCATCGTCTTCTTCTTCTTCAATAAGATTGTCATCACTGAATATACAATTACATCTTCTTTTATTAAACGCATAATCAATTTCTTCGTTTTCTTCATTCTCATTTGAGCTATCCTCATATATTTCATTGTAATCTTCATACTCATATTCAAACATATATTTGACATCTTCATCAAACTGATCGCCAGCTTGCAAATATGACACTAAATCTGTAACTTCTTGGAATTCTGCACCTAAAGCCAAAATAGATGCAGTATATGCCTTCAAATCGGCATATAAGGCACCATCACAAAGTTTTCTACCATGAGGCGACATAAATGTATTTAACGATTCATGAATAAAATCATGCCTTTTTAATTCCATCTGTTCATTTAAAACCGTAGCGACTATGGAACGCAAAGCAGCTGCCCCTCTTATAGTTGCACGAACTATAATAGGAGTATCAAATGATTGATTGGACTCTTCTAAACGATCTATTTGTAAACCGTAAAGAACAACGCATGTCAATGATTTCCATAAAGAAATTAATGATGATAAAAATGGGTTGAAGTGAACAGGAGAGTCACTATAAAGTTTGTAGATTGTGTAAACAGCTAAAATACACGACATGTAAACCAATTCCAAATTCTGTGTATTTAATCCACGAGGAAGCCATAAATGTAATTGTGACCTCCAATCCTTTGATTCATCGACAGTACCAAGTCTTTCAAAATCATTACAATTCAATACAAATAATGATGCAATAATTATTTGCTGCATGTTGAAACAAATGTGAAATCTCCAATCTACACCATCATCATTATTGAGTTGATTATCAATATAAGGTTTCATTAATCCTAAGAACATATTGCATAGTAAATCAATTGAGATAACATGGGTGTCATTCGGCACAGGTTGAGTAAGTGGATCTATTAAAGCCAGTAAAGTTTTATATTGGATTTGTAACAAAGGTGAATTAGATATTTGCTTTTCCAACTTTGAGTCAATGATCAGTTTTGATAAAGCTAGATGTCTTTTTGCAGTTTCGTTCATTAAATCAGGGAAATCTAATAGAGATGGTTGTAAAATGTTATCAGTTTCTTGGTTCTCTTCAACTTCGCCATCGTCTGGATCTACTGAAAGTGGTATGAAACCGAATTTTGATGGATTGTAACTCTGGTTATCAATTGTGTTATAAAAATAACCAGATAATTTAAATAATTGAAAACTGAAATTTGACAGACCTGTCAGATGTTTCATTAGTGCTTTTACATATATGTCAGAACCGTTTGTTTTCATACTAGAATAATCATAAAATTCAAAATGAAGTAATGTTTCGTATAACCTTTTATAACTTAAAATTGTTCTAACAAAAAATGAATCTTCGCAATCAATATATTCATTTTCGCCATTTAGAGATATTTTGATTATATTCTTAAGTTTTGGCCAAATGGCAGTTAAATATTCTCTAACTACATCAACTTCATTAGTCAATAAATTTAATGAAATGAAATCAGAAGTTTCGTTTTTAATCAAAAAATCTAATTGTAACTTAGATAATATATCATTTTTATTTTTAAAATTAATATCCATATTTCTATTATCGATAATAAATCTCAAGAATTTGATTAATATCAATTCATCATGCATCCATTTTAGAGCTAGTTGTGGCATTCTTGGTAACAAAGAATTTGGATTAAAATCTTTATTATCTTCATCAATACCAAAATTATCAGTTAAACAATTTAACAAAGAAATCCCAGGTCTTGTAGTAAACAATGCAATCACTGTCACTTCAGTGATGAAAGAACCCTTAACTTCGATATCTGCTAATAAATCTAAAACTTGATTCTCATCTCTTAAAAGTTGTTCTAATTGATAAATTGAAGGTTTGTAATTTGGAGATAAAATTTCCGCTATACGTTTCAGTTTAGATACGTGTGCTACTTTTGCCATCTCATTGATTCATTAAAAACAGATATATATATAGTATTATATGCAAATAAATTTCTTCTAATATAATATATGTTGTCTGTATTCTCTCTCTTTTAACAAGTAATTAAAAAGGGACGGAGAAGGTTGATAGATTGGGTATTATAACTTCTTAAAATAAACCGACAAATGAGAATTAATAGAGAAGCGCTAGTTCACAAGTAGATGAGACACTGTATTACCAAAATATTGCAACTTTGAACCAAGTTTAAATCAGTTTGAGATGAGTATTAATCTATACTAATTAGCAATATCAAAGTGATAAATTTTTAATCAGTTTATAACTAATAGTCAATAGGAGGCCGGGTAAAACCTACTATTTTCTAATATCATAGCATTAACTGGAGAGAGATGAGATGAGATGAGATGAAGGGAACTAATAACCGCTTTGATTACTTGTCTGACTTATTATTTAGATAGTATTCAATCAATCCATAATATGCACTAGTATCTTTAATTTTCAAAATATTTGATAGATCGATATTTAAAGGGCTATCTGTCACAGGATCTGACAATAATTGATAAATTGCAAGCACTACTGTCAATAAGTTCCAAACTGGAGACCAATTGGCGTTATCTAGAATATTTAAACATATCTTACCTGTCTTGAACTCTATATTACAGTGGGGCATCTTGTATGCACTGAACGTTACTTGAGGTGGTTTCAATGGATACTCCGGAGTCAAGTGTATTCTCAGATCAAAACTATGGCCATGGTAAGGAGTATTTGGAGGACCTAAAATCGTTGCTGTCCAGTTTGTAAGATCATCAGAATCGATAGGTTCCAAAGATGAAATAATATTCTTGTGGTTACCCAATTCCTTTTTAACCACCTGGTACTCTTTCAACAAACGTCTTTCTGACATCTAATCGGAATATATGGTAAAGAAGCAAACTTATTCTAATTTGAAATTCAAAAGCAAACAAAAGGAAAGGCTGTTTAGATTATAACAAAGTACTGTTCAATTATACTTTTGCAATAGTGGAGTCAACCAGAACTGAAAGCTAAGTCCCTTGTTCGATCAGGTTTGTATCACACTTTGCTCTTATATACTGGAAAAACCAATAGAAGAAAAAAAAGGGTGATTATCTCCGAGAAAACAGTCATGTGACAAATGAAAAAGTATAGTCACGTGTCAACGACAGGGTAACACCCCATTATGTTTAATCTGTGTGTCTCCCTCTTAATTAATGAACGAATAATTTAATATAAGAGAGAAAGTAATCTTTATAAAAGAGTATAAACAATAGCAAACATCAGGAACTTCAGCAAAATTGATTTGTATAAGGATGGGAATGAATACATCAAGCAATTGTAAGGGAACTATGTGGCAACTTGAACGAATGGCACACGGTATTGACGTTTAATAAGACTTTGTTGTGGCATTTTTAGAATCAAGATTGGTTTCGGCGGCTAACTTTATGTGGATATAGAATACTAATTCTGCATTAAAAGAGGTTTATTAGTTAGCAAGTAGTTATAGGTTGGTATAGATGAACACTCTGTTCTGTAAGAAGTTACAAGGACAAAAATATTAAAATATTTCAAGCAATTTGTCATAGGCTACTGAACCCATTACAATTTTTTCAAAAATTGCTATCTGTTTTCTTTTGCCAAAGTATATTAGTATAGCTGAACTGATACGTGACTCATTCTATACTTTTTGACTGATATGTTTCGACAAGAATAAGAATAGTTCTTTCTAAAATAATCCTAAATTTACTTACGCAAGGTTATTTATTTCCTAAGCTCAGTTAGTATGGTGAAGTACGGCTAAGGTGGAATAACACAGGATTTTGTTGGTCTCACTTGTGGTCTCAGGCCTTTCAATTTATATTTAGACATTTACTGTTCACCCGTCTAACCAACTTCATGAAAGCTGGCTGATACTCCTGTCTCTATTTACTGCTATTCAAAATTGAATAATAATAAAACTCATGAAGTCGTCAGATGCTGTTTCGCATCCAATTTCAACACATCTTCAGACTTCTCACTTAAAACAACAACATAACATAGAATACAGACACATTACATTATGTTACACCCATGCTTTCTCTGTGCTGATTTTATTTTATGCTTCTTCCGTTCATTCATTGTTGTTAAACCTCTCTCTCTCCTTTGCTCATTGTTTAAGCTCACTCTCGCACTTCGTCATTACCTACAGCCCAGCCCATCTGACGTTCTTTGGCAGAACCTCTCTTTGACATCACAACTGTTTTTTCGACTACCTGTTGAGTCGTCAACTAAAGAGACTGAACCAATCCACATATACACATTGTGCATAACATGAAATGATAAGATATATCGTGTAACGTAAACAGAAAATTTTGTTATTATTTTTTTTTCACTCTTTTTGTTCTTTATTTTACAGTTACGTACCGTTTTGATAAAGCTGGTTCTGCAACAGAAGTTAGAAAGCTTAGAGGTTTCGATATTCGAAAATAAGGGTGATAATGATGAAATTGGCAAAAATATCTGTGGAAATATTTTTTATAACTGGCGGGGGATTCTGAGAAACATGTGTAGGAGATAGGTAATATTTGAAAAATATTACTGCTTTATCGGTGGAAGGGGGGTTAATTTCGAAAAGAAGGAAAAAACTAGAAACTGAGAAAAATACAGTGGTAACAAGACAAAATCGGTATCGTGAACAACAAGCTACGACATGAGCTATGTATTCATTGAGAGGGGCGTAGAGATTAATTAGGAATAAATGAAAACACACATGGCGTGTCATAGTAGGTTTGATTTATCGAAGGAAATAGAATTTTAAAGTAATCGTTCGTGTATCTGTCCTTCATTTCTCAGCGTATTGTTGTAAATTCAACCAAGGGAAAGGGAAAATAATAAAATTGTGATAAAAAGTAGTAAAACTAGGGAAAGTACTTAAATAACAGCAATTATTTTTCATCCATTATTGTAATTATTGTTGTATTATTTTGTTGATTAATTGTTTTTTTAAAATTCAAAAAGTATTTCAATTCTGATACTTTTTTTCTTATATTAGAGGAACAATTCATTTCTTTACAGAATTCATAATTGCTACTTGAGTGAGAGAACGAAATCCGATCGAAATTTATTCATTCTTAACTTTACCCCCCCTTCCAGACAATCAATTGAGAAGGTTGACTGATATTGTTAATTTCAAGGAATTTCCAAGATGTTTAAAAAGAGAGAAGGTATTGTAATTGATGATACTGAAACAGATGGCAATAGGTCCAGAAGTCATAGCATGTTAAAGAAGGTTGTCTCCAGGGATCATAATGTAGAATACGTTTCACCATTCAGAGACCCTTCAAATGTACAAGCTGCAAACTATGCAAAGGCGAAGAAGATGGAAAGATTTCCAACTGTAAGTGCTAGTTCTCATTTTAGTCGTATGTCTCCTAATGAATTGGGTTACAAAAATATATCAAAGTCTACTAAGAGAGCCAAAGATATTTCTTTCCCAAGTTTCCTAATTGCTAATGAAAGAAGACAAGGCGGTATCATTACTGACTTGGAACTAAAGGAAGCAAATTTGAAGTACTTAAGAAACTCACAAATTTTATTAAATGAAAATGGTACATCTACGCAAACTAAAGAATCTTCCGATGAAGAATCATCAGGTGACGAAACTTCTACTGATGATGCTACTTCCACTGAAGCAAGTTCCACTTCCACTATCACAACTGAAGGAAGTGAAGAAGAAACTAGTAATGAACAAGAATCAACTGAAATTGTATCAGAAGAAGAAGTAGCTACTATTGAAAATGTCAGTTCAGCTGGTTCTGTTGACCAAGAAACGATTGAAAATGAACCAACTAGTACTTCATTGGAAGCCGATACTGTAAATCAAGTAATTGAAGAAGATAGATCCCAAGCCTCCATTACAAAGGCCGTTGAAGAACCTGAATCTGCTACTTCTACCGGTGCACAAAATGAACTTGAAACTGAAGAAGGTGAAGTAAATGCGCCTATTGAAGGATCTGATGCAAATACAAAGTCAGAAAATGTAGAAGAGGAACCGGAAGAGGGTGAAGAAGAGGAAGGAAATGAACCACATGAAGAAACTGAGGATGAATCTGTACAGGAAACTGAAGAAAAATCCTTAGTTGAGCCAATAAATCCGGACGAAGCTCCAATGTTACATATGGGTCCTCCACAACCGCAATCTTCTAGTACAGGTATTATGGCTATTTTTAAGGGTAACTCTAGCTCTAATATCCAACCTGTTAGTAAAAATCCAATGTCTTCTCCAGAAAATCCAGAATATGTCATCAAAACAAAGCAACATGGTTACCTATCCAAAGCTGTTTATGATAAAGTACAATATGATCAATCGGTTCATCAGCGTTGGTTAGATAATTTGGAGACTACAGAGGAAGAGAAGTATCAAAATAAGAAAACTGAATACGAAGATAATTTGGCTGATATTCAATCAAAAATTGACAATATACATGATTTGATGGATGAATTAAAGTTGAAGACTTCACAGAAGATCGAAGTTATGGAATATCAACTTGTCAAAAATATTTTAGATATGACTCAAACTCACAATGATTCGAAAAATAAAATCTTTAAAGAGACAGAATTAATGAAATTAGAAAAATTGAATGCAAAGCAAGATTTCATAAGTAAGCAAGCCGAAATTAGAAAGGAAATCGAAAATCTAAGTGAAGAACAAACTGGAGTCACTGATGACTTTAATGAATGGAACAGTAAGTTGAATGAGATCACTGCGCAATTAGATGCTAAGATTGAAGATATTAGAGCCAAGAACCAACAAAAACTTGACATTGAGCAAGAAATGGCAAAGTTAAATATTTCGAAAATGGAATTAGAGGAGGAAATAAAGAAGAATGAAGAAATCCACAAGAATAATACTGAATTGTTAACTGACTTGAATGTAAGGAAGAACTACTTGCCAAGAATAAACGAAATTGATAATGAAATTGCCGGACGTTTAGAAAAACTGTCTACAATCAAGAAGGAAACTATAGAAGAAAACAATAGATTAACTATCTTGACAAAGAAATTGGAAGACGAACGTATTGCTCGTGAAAACGAAATCAGGTTAAAGAATGAAAAATTGAAAAGAGAGCAAGAACAAAAATTACAGAAGCAATTGGCTGAATTAAAGGCAAAACATAACGAAGAATTATTAGAAATTCAAAAGAAGTACGAAAAGAAGATGGCTCAACAACCAAAGGCAGTCGAACTTCCAACAGATAATTCATTGTATGAATATGTAACAGAAGAAGAAGTGTTTTCACTTTAAAATACTAATTAATGATAATAGATAATTTATTCTGGTAGTAATACAACTTTATGTAATTATATATATATTAGTTTTATTAAGTTTAATAAGATTCACGAATTTTAATATCCATAAGTTTGACCTGTAACTATGAATGTTCATAATTGCGATATGATATTAATTCAATTTATGTCTTTTAATAATTTAGTTTCTTGTCTCTCCAATTTGTCATTAAATTCTTTGTTTTTTTCATTAATATAAGAATAGTTCTCATTTTGATCACTATTCTTTTGTCTCTTCTGATTTGTTCTATCATATCTCTCCTTTGTAGTTTGGTTTAAATCCTCTGCTAATTGTTTGATCAGCTGTTTACTGTCATTTACGACTATTTTCCCAGTTTTAGGATCTTTCCTTATCTTTGATATTTTACCTCTATTATCATTTGTGGACTTTTGTTTTTGCAATTTTTTGATCTGTTTATCGTACGTAAATTTTGCTATTTGTGCAGTTGAATTGACACTACTTTTAGTAACGTGGACGTTTTCCTTATGTCTCCCTTGTTTTTTCTCCCACTCCTCGTATTCCCTTATTGAATAGTTCAGCAGTCGATCTGCTTCATCGACTGTACCAGTATTTACTGTATCATCTTCAGCTAACTCCTCCATTGAGTATGTTTTTGGCTTAGAATTTTTCTTCAATTCCCTTGTATTTGCATCCAACAACTTCCGGTTCTCTATAAGAATATCCACAGCCTTCCTCTTCAGCCTCTTGAATTCCTCCAATGCTTCTTTGATCTCCATGTTCATTTCACTATTACTATCTATCAATAAAGTCAGCAGCTACCTTACTATGTTCCAAATTTTCCAAAAGTTAGACAGAAAACCTTTACCTGTTCAAAGGATACTACTTGCACCAAATCTTGACCAAATTTCTTCAAATTCACTTAGAACCAAACCTAATATACTAAGATATCTATAGGACTAAACAATATCACAGATATAAACTCCTTAATAACTGTTATCCTTACTTGACTTCATTGTTCTCGAAAGCCTTTAAATCAATCGAATCATCCCATCCCATCCATACGACTGCTCTTGTTAAATATCAATTTCGAAAATTTCAGTCACTTTTCACGGATCATCGATTTTTCGAAATTGGAAAATTTGATGGGAAGGTCATCGCAAGGTAAGTAAAACATGTTAACCACAGTATAAACCAAGTCTAATTTAAAATATAATTGAATTGGTATTATATATTTTAATTAATATAGGGTCCAGGATAAGTCAATATATCGATCTGAGTAAGCAGTGTATTGTGTCTAATCAATATGCCTTCTTTTTCCCAGCCGTTCAGATTAGCTGTTTTGCCTAAGATCTTATCTTTGAGCAATGTTGAAACTCAAATAAGCTCTCTTCAGATTGCAGATGATTTTTCTTTGGAGTCTAATAAGATTACTATTGGTATATCTGGTTCTACTATTTCTCAATATATCATCAATCCTACGCCAAGTTTAGTGTTTAACGTTCCTATTCCTTCGACTAATAATGTTACCGCTTGTAATATTGGTCATTTTGTTAGTGATACAGATGGTTCCAAATTGGAATGTTGGGCTTATGGGTTATCTTATAATAAGAACCATACTTTAAATATTTCCATTAAGACCAGTGATGATGATAAATATGCTACCTCTGGTGGTGAAGTGGTAGAGACTTATAGTCAAAAATGTGACGATAAGATTGAGCATATTAAGATTAATGAAAAGGAAAAAGTTATCGTTGTGGTCTTGAAAAACGGTTTGATTCAATTCTATGATTTCACTTTGAAATTGTTAAAATCTGTTAATGTCATGTACTCTGATATTAGTTTTGTCGAACATTTTGAAGAAGATGGGAAACAATTTGCTATAATTCTTTCAAATATTGAAGGTAAAAAAATTTCTTTTAAATTATATGAATTATTTACTAATGATAAAACTTCCATTAATGAATTGTCTTCAACCATTTTAGAAGATGCTGATTTAGGGGAATCTCAGATTTGTTATCAATTCGGTAAAATTTACAGATTATTTGAAGATAGATTATATATTTACAACTTACCACAGTGTCAATTGCAGCAGACCATTGAACTTCCATTTATTCAGAAAAAAGATTCCGACGTATTGTCTTTCAGTCCAATTGCTAATAATAGAATCTTGTTAACTGTCAACAATAAAATTTATTTATTAGATTTAGTTCATAATTCTATCTTAGCTGAAAGAGATCTTTCTCATGTTAAGGTTTATCAATTATTGAAATCCATTGTAGTGCCATCAAAGGGTGAAAATAAAAATAGTAAAACAATAGCTATTGGTGTTTCAATTAAAAACGGTCCTAGTCCAATTTCTTCATTAGAAGTTATTAATGTTGATGTAGGTTCAGGTACATTAAAGGATTCCCTGGGTAAAAGCTTCCAAGTTGCTAATGTTAAAAAAAATATTCCTTTACAATCTTTGTTCCCTGAAGATGAAACTATATACGCCAAAGGTGAACAAAAATCATTCGATTATAAAAATATTTTACAAGAATTACAAAACAATAAAAATGATATTAATAAATTTGATGATATTTTTTTCAAAAAATTGAATATAATGAAAGAATACTATACAGAACAGGATAGATTCATTTATGATCAAAAATTCTTAAGTGACGTATTAGATTTAATATTTTCAGCTTTCAAAAAAGATTACCCAAGAGCATTGACATTTTTATTAACTCATCCACTTTTCCCAATATCTCACACTAGAAATTTATTGACAAAGTTTAGAAACCAACCAAGACTATTCAAGCAAGCCGTTGTCACTTGTCCTAACTTGCCATTGAAAGAATTACTAGCAGAATTATTTACTATAACGAATGGTGAATTGTGTTTAGACATATCATTAAGAATTCTCCAAGACTATACTAGAGACTCTATCAAACAGGAATTGAAAACATTGAGTAAAGTTGATATTCAAAATTTCATAGAATTCGTCATCGATACAGATTCAGAGGATAAAAGCCAATTTAATCCGCAGTTATTCCAATTGTTATCCTTGGTATTGGATGCAAGCGGTTTGTTTGCACTCGAAGAAGAAACTTTAGAGAAGTTATCAGCATATATAGACAATCAAGTGAACGTTGCGGAAAGAAATAACAGACTATGGCATCTCTTGGATGAAAATTCTGACAAGCGTTCTACTTTGAATCAAGCCAACGACCAGAACGTACTACAAACAAAATCATTATCCGCATACAGTGTTGAATATTTAGAATTGTAAGATAAAGACAATTAGAATAAAACTAATTAAATTAATTAATTAAATAAATATATATAAGAATTATTAGGTCTCTAAAATTATAGAATCAATACTTTGTTAAACGTCTGTTAGAATGTGATTTAATTAAATTAAGTCATTATATAAACACGTCATGTGATTTCTTATATCATTGTTCGTATCCATTCATCAAGTATCAAATAAATGCCTCTAAGATATATCTTCTCAAAAGTTCACCATCACCTTCATCATCATCTCATCTTGAGTATAAATGAGAATGGTCTTGAGAAATTGGAATGGAAGAAAGATTAAAGGGGGTTCATATTGAGTTTGTATTAGTCTTGTATTTGATTAAAAACATTTCAGGTATCCTGTAGATTTATATAAGATGTCGCTCGTAAAGGTTTTCGAAGATTCCATATATCCAACATCGATAGTTCATCTTGATCCTTTAACTAAAGAGCTATCTCCAGAGGACTCGCCATTGTTTGTTTGGATACCAGGTAATCCAGGTTTATTAGAGTATTATGTTGACTTTTTGGCGTTAGTTCATAAGAAGAATCCAACATGGGAAGTGTTGGGTATTTCTCATGCTGGTATGAGCTACGATGGCAATGAGAAGAAGAAGAAGACTAGTAGCAATGATAAATTTAAAGTTTTTGATTTGGAAGAACAAGTACAACATAAAGTTGATATTATTAATAAATTTTCAAGTAAAAATAGGCCATTGATTATTATGGGTCATTCTGTAGGTGCCTATTTAACTCAAAGGGTAATTATGACAAATAAATTAAATGGGAAATTAATTAAAGTCGGTTATTTGACTCCTACAGTAGTTGATATACATTTATCTGATAAGGGGATTAAAATGACAAAAGTTTTCAATTGGACTTCTAATTTACCACATCACGTAGGATGGATATCTCAATTCATCTTCCATAAGTTATTACCATTATTTTTTGTCAAATTTTTTATTAGTAAAATGATCAAATGTAGTGAAGACAGTAATGCTGTATTAGCGTCAGGAACATTATTAAGAAACGCTAATTTAATCGAACAAGCTTTAGGATTAGCTACTTATGAAATGGAAGCTATTCATGATGATTGGGGCTTCCATAAAAAATTAATCGATTATTGTAATGAAACAGGTGTTAAAACTTGGTTTTTATTTGCGGAAGATGACCATTGGGTAGCACATTCAACCAGAAAAGAAGTCATTGATTTTTATCAATATCATAACAAACCTGAAAATATTAGAATTGACATAGATACTATTCCGCATGCATTTGTTATCAAAAAATCCAAATATATTGTTGACCAATATTTTTAATTTGGTAATAGACTCTCGATGGAGTGACCCCTTCGTTTATTTTCTGTAAATACTCATTAAGATTGATTTGGCTACGAAATAATTTATAGATAAGTTGAATTCTATAATAATGCAATTTTATTAAAATATAAAACCACTATGACGTGGTGTATTTAAATATATATAGACACATTGATAAAGTGTGGATTTTTTGTTTAAATTTTATCGATACCTATGCGCTTACTAATGTATACCCAATTAAACCTTTATATCTATATTCCCTGATTGTCATGACTAGCAGTAACAGTTCTGTGTATAAATTTAAATTTTCTTTTTTAATTCTAGACATGGTGTCATCGTCGATCATCCAAATAATTGATTCTGTTTCCGTCTTAAATATTATTTTCGGAAGGTTTGTTACAGTCCCCCTGTGACCTACAACTTTACCATAACATGTTCTATTAGACATAGTTTCAGAAACTATACCTTGAGGAAGATCGTGAGTAACACGGACAACACCTGACTCTACAACAAAGAAGAAGTTACTACTATTAACCAAAGTTGATCCAGTAGGAAACAAAGATCTTCTAAAGTATGGAGAAAGTTGACCCCAAAAGTTGATTTCTTTTTCTCGAATACTTACATCTTCAGAAAATACATCAGGTCTGAATAGTCTGATAGAATACAATAATAAGGATAGAACTGGTTTATCAGTTTCATTATGAGTCTTAAATTTGCTTGCAGTCTGTGCCTCATTTTTAAAAACTTTTCGTGCGACAGATAGTACTTGATTGTTTCGAGGAGTATTTATTGGTAGTGACATTAGCATTTGCTGGTCAGCAGCCGACAGACCTGAATCAGATCTATTTCGAGAGAAATAGGTACTGCCACTATCCTTAGATATCGAAATTCTCTTGTGTATTCTATCCTTAGCCTTTTCGTGAAGTTGCATGTATTGGTATAGGAATTCATTCTCACACCACTCTAAAGCACTATTCAAATCATCAAATAATTCTACATCTTCCAGGAGACGAACCATATTGAACACGCTATAAATTTTATCCTTTTCCTTTATGGAAGAAATTATTAGTTGTATTCTTTTCCCTTGCGTGAACCTTTTAATTCTGTTGAACCCTTCAGCTGCAGAGTAGTCTATATTATCAGCATTTATGTTTTTGAAGTCTAATATTAAGTATTTTATTCTTCTCTTAGATGGATCTTTGTCGCTTATTTCTAATAATTTATCAATCTTTTCTTCAATTGAAATAATGGTACCAAAAAATAGAACATTTTGAAGTTTCAATAAATATATCTGCTGCCTAATACCGTTTAAAAACTTGGTTTGAATATAATCACGATAAACTGTACTCTTTGCCACCTGGCCATCATATTCTCCATTTATTGTTTCTAGCTTTGTACCGTCTACCATAAACGATAAGCAGGCGATTAGTATACCGACAATGATTCCCAGAACAAAGTCATATATTCCCATGATGAAAACAATGATTAATATTGTGATGTATTCAAACGATGTTACTGTGCCAATTGTGTCTACTAATGCTTCCACCATTAATTCATAGCCTAACAAAAAGATCAATGATCCAACTATGCAAACTGGGATAAATGAGACTATCACTGAACCAGCAACCATGACCACAACAGTTAATGCAACCAATAAAAATCCAGCTGATGAAGAATCTGCACCTGCCCTAATGAATAAGACACTATTTGTATAAACTAAATAGTTCTGCACCGAACCTAGAAGCCCACTGATTAGGTTTGAATAACCGTGTGCAATTAACTCTCTATCAACATCATATTTATCCATATGCAATGACATAGCTAAAGCTGGAACATTAATTGGTACGTGTAAAATTCCAAAAAATGTTAGTGCTAGCATGGTTGGAATTTGCTTTAAGACTAACCCCCAATGTATGTCATGTAGATTAAAGTACTTGTAATGGTCATACCAACTATTTTTAGAGTCTGTAACAGGAAATATCCAGCCATTTTCTCTCAAATGATCTAATGAGAGATTTGGAAGTATAGCCACAATAAAATGAAATAATATTATTGTTAATATATAAAATGATGGCAATACTAATGAATTCTGCACTTGTCGCTGTATCAAAATAAGTGATAATGTTAAAAGAGTTGGCAATAGCCACTTACCTAGAGTATCCAAATTTGTAAGAAGAGAAAGAAGGAATTCCCAATTATATTCAAATTTCCCGATTCTTGTAGATACCTCAATACCAGTAATAATCAAAAAATAGCCGACACCTCCAATACATCCAATTAGAATATGACGAGGGAAAAAACCGACAATTTTACCCATTTTTAATTTACCTAGCATGAAGAATACCAGGCCTGTGACAACAGAACTTATTACATAGCAAAATATAGTCGTGGTAATTACCTCGTTATCTTGATTTGGCAATGCATCTTTTATGGCAAAAGCCATTGTGTGGTAAAAAGGAGTTATTTCAATCATTTCACTACCAATACCGCATGGAAAACTTGAGAACCCACCAGATAGGACTAACTGGCATACAATAGTAGATATGTAAAACATTGATATACCAGTTGGTCCTAATCCAGAAAATAACGGTTCTGTTATAGGAAATATAATCATACCATATGAAAGAGCATCCAAAATATTTAATAAAAGCCCTAATATAGCTGCTGGTAAATAATTTAGCAGTTCTAACCCTTTTGTAGCAAAAGAAGAGCTGGTTAATTCTCTCGATTGAATTCTCAGTATAGAATTATAGTCATTATTTATTTCATCATAAGTTGATTCCAAATCAAATTCATTACCAACAATTGATGATGATGGTGTTAATAATGCTCTTTGTTCTAAACCATCTAGTTGTGACGCTGATGATCCAATAGGTGATAAAAAACTTTTGCCTTCAATAAAAGTATGGGGTCTTAAATGCACTGCTGATTCTTCTCCTTCTTCCTCAGCTTCAATTTGCTTTCTATTTAGTAACTCTATATATCTCTTGATTTTAGCTTCATCCATTGAGGTATCATTGAAATCGTTGGAAATTTCTGCTGTTTGTCTGTGTAATGCATCAGGGCCCAATATTGATTTTGAAGGCATTTTCCTTATCGGAAGCAATTCATCAGTTCTGCTTGTATTAAGATATAGACTTGGTGAATTAGATGATATGGAACCTGCATAGGACCTTCCTATGCGACCAAATTCTCTATTGCTCACAGAAGATGTGGTATTATCATTATATCCGCTGTATGAGTTTGGAGCTAGATTGCTTCTCGTTCTACCTGCTCCAATTCCTTGTTCATGTAACCCTAAAGATACAGATAGAGCCTCTGAAAAAGAAGGTCTCACTCTTCGATTGGAACTATCTTGACCGCTGTAATTTTGATTATTGTTCATGAATGCAATTGATTATATTTATAGTTGTCCCAGGTTCCAGAAGTGTGAGGTTTGTCTTTTAATATCAATTAAATTCAATTAAAATTCAAGATGGAAGATAAAAAAACTATAACAGGAAAAAAATCGAAGCGTTTTTCAACAATTGTATCTTATATTTGTAAAATCAAAAAAGAAGACAATGGATCCAATCTAATCCTTAACTATCCAAAGTTATTAAGCTTTTTTCCTTAACGTCTTGGTTCAAAATAATTTTCTCCCCAGGTATTTCTTATTATAGATAGAGAAATAAATATAAATATCATGAACTTCAAAATCAAATTCGAATCAGAATTTCTTTTGATTAAATATGTCAATCTGAGTCAGAATTTGTCAATTTAGTGGATATGGATGCTACGCTACACTCGATAAATTTCTCTTATCAGTATGTGGAAACAAGAATTAGATTAGTAGTATTCTCTTCGAGTGATAATTCAAACTAAAATTAAAGCTAAAAATTCGATGATCTCCTTCTCAGTAACAATACACTGGCATACTCCCGCTACCTGACAAAACCTTATCCGAATGTTCTTTGATAATCTGTGTAACAATATTACTGCAGCCATACTCAATATTTGATAATATAACCTGATAATTATTTATCTAATTTTCACCTTTTTTTCCATCGGATTTCTTTCAATTGAGTTTTTGAGAAATTGGGAATTAAAGTTGTAGCAGTGTGTCAATTGGACATTACGTTATAAACACTGTATAACGTTCGTAATTAGGATAATATCAAATTACTGATCATTTCGCTATTTTGATGAACCTTAATCTATGCTTATCATAAAATGCAAACGCAATTTTATTTTGTAACAAATTTTTTTCTTGTTGTCATGGTCACATGATCTGGTTTTTTTTTCTGTTCTTCAAGTATGTGGTGTGGTCTAATCAACGATATTGTAATAAACGGTCCAGAAATGAGTGAACTTGATGGTATAAGAACCTTCAAAATAATGAACAAAGAAGAGTATCATATCACAAAATATTAGTTAGTGGTGGATTAGATATCTTCTTTTATTTAGTTTAAAAAAACATCCAAAGTCAGGTAATTATTCTGAAAAGGATCTCCTAAAAAGATTGTTGGAAAACTTGCCGCCAAAGTGCAAAATATCAAAAACTGAAGTAATTTAGAATTCAAAGACTATCTTCATATGAATAGCAGCATCAAACTGTAGAGATGTCTCTAATCTTTATAAAATGTAGTTAAAATTCAATCTTACTATCGATACATCTAGTCATTGCTTTGTATCTGCTTTATCTTGTGTTTCAGATTAGTGAAGAAACTGTTTAAAGGAAAGTGCGCTTTTCCGATCACCTTTTTATATAATCGATAATGAAAAGACACGCAAAGAAGTAGTGGCTAATGGCACTTTCATTAACTTATTTATATGTTCATATATTCATATATATTTGGCACAATTACAATGAAACCATGCGTTATTAATAATAAAGTACTACAAGAAATTACCTCATTTTGTGTAGTACCTCTTGGCACATCTACCTGTACACACTGAGAAATAAATTGAAGTAGTTGAAATATTTCTAATCTATATAAAGAGCTGGATTCATTCTAGTTCTTGAGGTAATCTGTCATGTTTAAATAAAAACAAAAAGTACTCCCGTAGTGACTAGGAGAAGGAAACAGAATGTCAGTAATTATAAGAGATTTGAAAAATATACTGTTTAAACATCATGGTAATGGATTCGAACTTATAAAAAAATTAAAATCAGGTATTGGATTCACGAAACATATTGTCCATCATTCCCATTCACGTTGCAAAGTAGTAACCAGATATGATATATTAAAAAACTTTTATTACTAAAAGCTTTAAGTTGATAAAGTGTGCTTTAATGATAGTTTTTTGAATTCAGAAGTTCGAAATCGATATAAAATTAATGTCTGTGAGTGGGGGGATGGGAGAGGACAGGAAATTTAATAATAACCTAATAAAATTGTTGGACCAGTTATCAATATTAAAGTAAAGTTCTAATAAACCATATAACATGCAGATAGTTGTTTTCATTTATAGTTAGCTTTATTTAATCACATTATCTAGAATTATATAAAATTAATTTATAAATAAAAAACTAAAAATAAAAAAAAATCAATAATAATGTTGTAGTTTTACAATTCAAATAATCAAATATTCACAAGTAAAAGGTATATTTTATATTAATATTGTATCTGTTCTTTACTTATTGCGGAGATCAAAAAGTGGAATAGAAATGGAAAAACGTATTTGATTATTTGTCACCAATGTGTTGTTCGTGGATTTTAGCATATCTACCAGATGGATCTTCAGCACAACCCCAATCAGCCTTTGGAATCCATCTCATGACGGTTTCGGCAGCAGTCTTTTGTGGGAACAAAGCATCGAACTTCAATCTGTACCAGTATGCTTCCTTGGTAGTTGGGATATCAGCACCCCAGTGTTCCTTTGGAGTAGAGAATAATTCGTCAGAGATAACTCTTTCAGCAGTGTCTTTCAAACCATCAATCCAAGAGTAACCAACACCATCAGAGAATTGTTCCTTTTGTCTCCATAAGATTTCTTCTGGTAAGTAAGGTTTTTCATCTGGTTCATCAGAAGTATCGAAAGCCTTTCTTAAGATGTATTTTTCTATACGGCCTTCTGATGCATTAATCATCTTTTCGGCTGGATCAATGTTCATACATAATTGTAAGAATTCACGATCCAAGAATGGTACACGAGCTTCCAAACCCCAAGACATGGTAGACTTGTTGGCTCTTAAACAATCAGCCAAGTGTAAGTTCTTAACACGCTTAACGGATTCGGTGTGGAATTCAGCAGCTGAAGGAGCTTGAGCAAAGTACAGGTAACCACCGAATATTTCATCAGAACCTTCACCAGACAAAACCATCTTAACACCTTGAGCTTTAATCTTTCTTGATAACAAGAACATTGGAGTAGAGGCTCTGATGGTAGTGACATCGTAAGTTTCCAAATGGTAGATAACATCATCCAAAGCGTCTAAACCTTCTTGTAAAGTGAAAGTATGTTCATGATGAATAGAACCGATGAATTTAGCTACTTTTCTGGCAGCTAACAAATCTGGAGCATTTGGTAAACCGATAGCAAAAGAGTGTAAACGAGACCAACCAGCGGTATGCAAGTTACCTTGGTCATCAATACCTGTTAGATGCTTATCTTCAGAATCATAAGCAGTTGTATCCATTTCTTTCATAGCCTTTTCAGTTTCACGGGCAGCAATAGAGGCGATTAAAGAAGAATCTAAACCACCAGATAATAAGACACCGTATGGAACTTCAGCCATTAATCTCTTTCTAACAGCCTTTTCCAAACTTTCTCTGATAGCTTTGTAACTAACAGGTTCAGTTGGGATTCTTTGTTCATCGATCCAATCTGGAGAGAAATAACGGGTAATTTGATCAGTTTCAGAATCGTAGACATGACCAGGTGGGAAAGCCATAATGCTGTCACAATCGTCAGTTAAACATTTTAATTCAGAAGCAAAAAAGACTGTCTTTGGAGATTTTGAGTTCCGCCCCATGTATAAAGTAGTGATACCAATTGGATCTCTTGCAGCGATAATACGATCTTTCTTTGCATCATACAGACACCAAGCAAACATACCATCTAGATACTTTGGAGCATCGATGTCATGTTTTAAATATAGAGGAATGATAGGTTCACAATCACTTAAAGTTTTGTATTTGTAATCTGGACAAGATTCCCTTAATTGAATATGATTATAAATTTCACCATTGACACACAATACGTAATCACCACATGGAGAAGTAATTGGTTGAGCACCAGAATCTAAACCAACAATAGCTAATCTTTCATGAACTAAGATGGTAGAGTTTTTGACAACGTTACCAGACCAATCTGGACCACGATGTCTAATTCTTTTCGACAGTTGTAAAGCTCTTGGCTTAAACGCTTCAGCGTTTTCATGTTTATAAGCAGCAAAAATACCACACATTATATTAAAATGACGTTACTAATTACTATTCTATCTAGAATATCAGTGATCTATTGTGTATTAAATAGATAAGTAGAAAAGTAATATTTACGATGAACAGATATGTTAACCCACATTTTTCAAGAAACAAAAGATAATCAAGCACAACTACAAATCAAGAACCCAATGCACTTTCATTTATATAAAGATTCATCTACATTTATATATATATGAATATAAATAAATATACATGCATCTAGATAAAAATAAGAATAAAAATGAAGTCGTTAGTGCTAATGTTAGCATGATTTAGCTTATGAGTAATAAATGAAATTGAAAAATTTCACTAATTAAAGTGTTCTACATGAGTATTTCTCCTAGAGTTTCTTTTTTAACGTGCAGATTCTGGGACTAACCAACTGTCCCAAGCCAGAGAAGAGATCAATCCAATCCAATTCAATTACAATACCTTTCTTTTAAAGCTATGAGTCAAAGAAAAGGAAACGAGAACCGCAGTAGCCAGTGATAATTACAATAGAAACTACTAATTCCATCGATAACTACAACAGAATTTACTGCTAATTATAATATTTCTTGTTTCTGTTTGATGCTTTTGTTAACAAGCGTAGGGTATATGTTGTGGGAGGGAGCAAGAACAACTATCTTCAGCGATGTTTTGAGGTTTAAGCTGTTTCGAAGGTCTTTATTTCATCCAGTTTGGGACCTATTCTCTCTTGGGTGGGCTTAATGTTCAGAGTGTGGGATGAGGAAGAATACGATGAGTTTGTATAGGTAGGTATCTTTATTTCAGAAGGAGGGGAGTGTTGTGCTAGTTAGTTCTATCTGAAGCTAGAGATGTTCAGTGTGCTAATGAAGGAGGGTTGAGAGAGAGAGGGAGAGACAGAGCAAGACTTGACGGACAAGAGTGACTGATTAGAAGATTTGAAAAAATGTATACAGTTTTCTAGTGAATGTTTCCTATTTGAGATATGAAGAATTGATGGTATCTAGAGCTCAAAAATTTATTTTTGTTTATGATTGAGTTTTGGATATATTGATTACAATCTGTAGATGTAAAGGCAAAAAATAAGATATTCCAAGTATTCTATTTAGTGCTGTGTGTTAGTTAGTGTCTGTATTTTTGAAGCCCACGCGGCAACAAATTTTTAGTTACTATTTTATATTGTTAGATAATTGGAGTTTAACAACCGATCTAGTAGTTTACATATATCCAAGTGAAGCATGGTATATGAGTATATCCGTCGGGAAAAGGGAGTTCCACCGTCGGGTGAGTGATTTCTGGTTCATACTTGAGGCTTTGTTTAAGAAGGTTAATTTTAATTTTATCATAATAACAAGAATAAACCTAGAACTCCTGTTTGGATATTCCATTTAAAGAATAAAAAGCGGTTATAGAATCAAGATTGTAATTTGTATCGATATACTTACTTTGGCTAATATAATATAATATAGTCGGTAATCAACGGTTAGCAACACCTAACATTTTCTTATTGCCATTTTGTTATAGCGGGTTAGGTGTACCTGATTGATTTATATCGATGTTCTCATAATGTGTTATTCTTCCCTTCATTAATTCGTGGATACAGATCTATCAGTGTTAGTAACTTGCACTTAGACCCACCTTGTTTCATTAAAGGGTTTTTTTGTCTCATTAAACTAGTCCGCATCGATTTAAAAATCGAATACAACTGAATTTGAATTTTTAAATCACAAATTAGTTAATTTATCGAGATTAGACTAACTGCAATTGTCCTGCCTATATTTCAAGATATTAGAGATATATACAAATTAATAAATGCAATGAGTTTGATTTTATTTACGTGCTTCTATTCCTTCCATATTAATACATTTAAAAAGAATCAGAATTTCATAATATTAGCGTCCTGTCATTCAATTGAATGTAACAAGATTATATTGGCTGCATAGGAACCGCATTCTCCATTAAAACCTCAGTAAATTAGATATTATCTAGTCCACCGAGAAGAATTGTTCGATTTAATAAATGCAAATAGTATCATCGCACTCTTTTTAAAACTTGGAAGGTTCATGGTTTCTTTTAAAACGTAAAGAAAAGAATAACAACAGAAAAAAATTAAATGGATTAAAAGGAAATAAAATGACATCTTCTTGTAATAAAGAACTATTAAAATCATCTCTTATTTATATACCAAAGCGTGAAAAAGTGGACAGAAAGAAAATTTTTTTTAAATTTTTCGAGTTGTACGATTAAGATATACATGTCGTGATATATGATGTTTGTTTGATGGGGAGGGTAATAAGAAATACAACAACAAGTTATATAGGGTTGGTTCATATTATTTCTGAAGAACCAAGAAACCTGACCCGATTGATCATGTCTATTAATTTACTGAATTATCATGCATGGTATATCATAGAAGAATGGAATAAAATTAATAAGGAATATGAAAAATAATGGCTTAAAAAAAAGCACACTGAGCTGATCTCTTTTCTAGGATAACTTTTATTATCCTTTTTGAAATTAGCTATTATTTTTTATAAATTGTAGAAAAATGACAGTCTAAGAAAATGTCATTAATCTTCTTTGATTCGAAAAGGTAAATTTGCGTCACTTACTCACATTAGAACTTCTCTTTATTATGACTTTAAAATCGCCCATCTAAAGTTCGATGAAGTCTATATTATCAGTTAATAATATACAGGCAGTTCAATCCATTGAACCTTTCATTTTTATTTCTTATACAAATGTTGATATACTAATACGTTAAATGCATATGAATTCACGACTTCTTGAGAGTTGGTGGTTTTATTGTATTATCCTGATGTTACTCCGAACGAATCTTGATGGCTGACGAGATATGTGTTGTGGCCACGACGTTGTTTCAGCTTGCCAAACTTGTTATAAAATCATACTATTGTACATTACTAGGTATTATTCAGTATGTTAACTTGTATATAGGACAAGCACATAGAATATTAATTAATCGTATATTTATTTTTCCATATAGATCTCCACCAAAAGATTCCCTTGGATAAGCGCGGGCTCACCTTCATTCTAAAGAATCCCAAGGCAACTCTCCAATTAAAGGATAACTAAATTTTACCCAAAGTTAGTTAATCAATATAAAATAACGTGGAATCAATACATAAATACAAAATAAATACCCAGCAAATATTGGTACTAGCATTACTAACTTTTCCAATTTCAACAAGTTCTACGACTCCGTGGCCAAGCTGGTTAAGGCGTGCGACTGTTAATCGCAAGATCGAGAGTTCAATCCTCTCCGGGGTCGTTTATTTTTTTTGATTTAATTTTTCAACATTCTCAATTTGCAAGATATTCAAATAAAGGCCACCCACCTAAACTTTTGATCGAATTGATATTTAATAGATGATTTATATTTTTGTTGAGAGGGTGAACAGATTAGTTGAATTGATTTAAATTTTGGTTTGTATCCGTTAAATTCAATAATTCGCTATTAGTATATCAAGTTACTGAACCTTCTGGTATAATTGTTGTAACGCTTTAGTCCATTCAATCCCAATATAATTGCACCTGATTGCCAATGAATGGTCTAACAAGATAAAGATAGTATTGTTGAAATTATTTTTTTTAAATTATCATTGTAAATTATTATTATTATAAATTATATCATGGCTTTAAATGAAAATTTAATTTCCGTGCTATCTCATGTGGCAGAATATTTGAATCAGAATGAGTTAATAGATTTAGCATCGACATGCAGGGAGATTTACGATAAAATTGCGATACCTAAACTTTATAGACGAATTGTGATTAATGAAGAACCTGTAATGAGAACAAATCTTTGGTATTTGGAAAGTTACGCCACATTCGTGTCTGGTTATAGATCTGTGATAAAAAGTGCTGATCAGAACGATATATTTGTTTATGATAGAATTGAACGTCTACTACATAGTGGAAAGTTAGAGTTAATTAGAGAATTGATTATCACTGATAAAGTATTTGCTGATGAAGATAGTGGGTTCCGATTGTTTAAAATATTAATAGAAAGACTTGTGGCCATTGATAAATTAGAGGTTCTACAAATTATGGATATCAGATTATCCCAAATATTTTATGAATTATATTTGGAATTGACTCACCTTAAGAAAATCCATCTATTTGATTTTGAAGATAGGGTACAAGTCAAATCCTTTGCAAATTGTAATTCATTAAGGTTGATGCTGCAAAATCATACTTCTTCAAATTCCAAAGTTATCTCTTCAGAATCACTAGAGTTTGTGACGCATATAAAAGAATTAATTGTAGAAGATGTGGAGAGTCATACCTTACTTTTCTTTCAAAACCTATTCGAAGCTAATATTCAATTTCCAAATGTTAATTCGTTGAAATTCGAACATGTACATACATATACTTCATCTGAATTAACTACTGTACATATAAATAAAGTGATAGCGTTGGAGAAGCTTGAGAAACTAGAAATGTCGATTGCATGTGAAGTTCCTGGATGTCATTGTATTGATGATTTCTTGTTCGATTTGTCTACTAATCTAAAATCTCTAAATAAATTATCACTGATTGAAAATACATTCCAAACACAAGGTGATCATTACACAGAGGAAAATTGGGATATTTCAATAGCGAAATTTATTCTGAATATACCTAATGTCTCTAAAAATTTAAAATTATTAAACATTGACCATAATCCGCCAAAAAATGGGGAACAAAGTAACAGTGTTGACGGAAACTACTTTCGTAGACGTGATTTATATTCAAAAGTTCTTCCTGAACTAACTGCATTGCAAACCTTAATTGCCCCTTCGATTTTATTGTCATTGAGTTCTTATGACATTTTAATTGGCGATTTATTATGGAATGGATGTAAATGTCCATTCTGTAATAAAATATTACCTATCTTAGACGAATATATTATGAACCATCAAGTATTTGATAATGAATATTCGGATTATAAAGATATCTCAGTGACAAATTTTTTTGCATACGTGCAACAGATTTTATCGAAAAGGATTAAACATCAAATTGTCTGGGATACTGACATTCAAAATATTCCACCGACTAATAAAACCTGGGATTTCCATGGGTTCGAATCGATCTCCCATTTCGATGACTATGATTGTACATTCGATAACAGGGTATTTAATGCTGTCCCGATTGCTGTTGCGCATTTTTTCAATGGTTATATGGATAATCTAGTAGTCTTCATGCCAAATTTATCGGTTGCCATCTTATCAGGAATATACTACTCCGTAGATAAATCAACCCGTAAATATAAAAATATATACGATGAATGAGGTCTGGTAGTAGTGCTCATCTGTTCATTGTCTTTATAGATTGTGTCATTATTGGATATTTAACTTATATTATAGATATTACATCCGTGCATCGCATACTCCGCCCGATTTTATAGGCCTTGACTATATTTAATATCTTGATTTCGAAACTATTTAACGAAATGAACAAAACTTGGCTAAAAATATAGTTAATTCAGTAGGAATGAGTTGAATTGAATTAAATAGAGTGATATAGTGGTCTAAACTGTAAATATTAGCGTCAATTAGTCTGTTATAAACAGGTGCATATACATATAATTTGGTATATAGCCAAATCTATATTCATTTTATTGTTAATATTATTCCTTTCTGTTCTTTGCACCAATTAAGTTGCTTTAGTTGTTTGAACCTAGTACTCAACCGTCAAAAAGCAACTGGTAAACTAATTTGAATTTTCATTATAGCATTCCTGTAGATACACATTGGCTTTTTCTTTTATTCAGTTTAATATTCATTAGTTTCAAATTGCATTTATTAATTCATATATTGTTTTACTACTATTCGTTCAGTACCAGGTCATATCTCTTTTTTCAGTGGTTCAATTATAACTAACATCTAATCTGGTCCATATATTCATTGAATCTAATTCAAATTATTTATAATACTTTTTTTTCCTTTTATTTTTGCATATTAGCTCAGCATTTATTAGTCTCATGAATTCATTTAATCTAAATGTTAATACGAAAATCAATACAACGAATATACCCGTATTTGGTCAATAAGACGCCATTGCGATTATCTACTCAGGTCAGAAACCTTAAAATATGTAATAAAGAAACTGACAGGGGCAGGAAAATATTAGAGAATGAAGAATGGCTAAGATTTGGTAATACAAATAATTCCAATATTCCACCTTATCAAAGTTCATCATTGAAAAATCAGAATCAATTGGAAGATGTTAGCAATAGTGCAGAAAATGGGCATGTTCTTAACGAACCAATAGTCTTTATCTCTAAATCAGACTTTAAGGAAAATTGGGAGCTCAAATTTATAGAAGCATCAAGAATTACAGTACGACAAGTAAAAGGATTATTGGTTGATAAATATGATATGTTTTCTCCTGATCAATTACTGTTATTGTTCAAATCTTTGGAATCTTACCAAGACACTTACAATATGCATGAGCTATCTGTTATATTACTTCCACAATTGAATAAATTCAATGGTAATTCTAAGGCATTTCAAGAACTTCTAGTCACAATATTGAGAGTAGAATATAAACTAAAAAAATATAGAATTTGTGAACATTTGTTTTCAGAATGCATAAAATATCCAATAAAGAATCCTGTGATTTATAGAATAGGTTTGAATTCATTTATTGAAAACGATAATTTCCACTTAGCAAATGGATTCTATATACAAGCGCTAGAAAGTCCAGATATATTCCCTCTAACAACAAAAGAACTATTTTCATTTCTATTAAAATTATACGAATTTAAAGACTTATACTCGATGGAGCGAATATTCATTCAGTGGCTAAAGAAAAAATGTGATAAGAATACCCCTTCAGAGCATGATCCTACAACAAATATTCTTTCTTTGATGCATAGAGCCTATAGAAATTATGGAACTGATGGTGAATTCCAAGAGTTTTTAGAAAATGAGTATGTTAATAAACTTCGATATAGTGAAACTTTGCAATTTAAGTGCACCGAATTTTTAACTGATCTTTATGAAAAAGAAGAATACGAAAATGATATAACTAAAAAGTACGAAGATTCAATAGCACTCTTTGGACTATTAGAAAATTTACCAGCTCAAAAAAGAGGATTTTATCTGGCATTATTGAACTCTGCTGTTAAACACAATGATTTCGAATTCGTAAAACTCTTATCACAAGAGATGAAGAAAGATAATTTAATTAACTTTGGAGCCTCATATCACTTGATAGTTTCCGAACATTTCGCCAAAAATGGACATATCAATGAACTTTTGACGTACTTTAATGAACTAGTGCTTCAGCAGGAGGACAGTTGTGTTAGATTGTCTCCACAACAAGTGCTGACATTCAGAGACTGTCTAGTCAAGAAATATCCTATATTAACAAGAGAAATACATAATGAATTGAAAACTATAATTACAAAGCCCGTTTATTATGAAAAAATTGGTTGGACTATATCTACTGACAGAGATCTTTCGAAATTAATTTCATACAGAGCATTGGGTGGATCACAATACATGGTTCCGTATCTAAATCATGTAGACTACGATAGATTTTTGAATTTCTCAAAATTAATAAAAGAGAGGAAAATAGCAGAGGCCAAATTATCTTTGACAGATATTTTCCAAAGGAATTTAAAACCAAGTTTTAACCTTTGTTTTATGTTGTTTAGATTGTCTATTCAGAACAATTTTAGAATATTGGCAACGATTATTGATGATTATTTAAGACAATGTCAAAATGATATACCGATTAGCATGAAATTACTTTGGTTGCGTAATGATGTCCTAGGGTCTCAAAAATCTATTGCTTCTACAACAGAGACCTCAAAATTTGGTTTAAAGAACAAGAAATCTATGCGTTGGGTAGAAGTCGAAAATTTTTCAAGGAATAATGTCAACAGTTTAAATTTCACATCATATATTCAATTGTCAAAAATCAGTATATTATTAAAAAATTACTCGCTTGCATCAGAATTTATAAACAAAGCATTTTCTAAGATGGATAAAAAAAATGAAATGAATTGGGCATCATATTATCTGGTATCACTATGGAAATCCACTGTAACTTTAAATCAAAAACAATTTTTAAATCAATTAAAAGAATGGAATAAAAATCAAAATGGTAATTTCATTACCCAAGGACACCTGCGTAGAATCAAACAATACAGTACATTTTTTAGTAAAAGATCTAATTATATCGATAACTATGATCCAAATTTAGATTTTGAAATTAAACAAGAGGTTGAATACTTAGCAGAACGTTTTGTTGATTATAAATTTCAAGGTTTAAATGATATTAAGAGAACTTGTGATATTTTAGACAAATGGTTAGAAAAACAAGTAAATGAAAAAGAACAAAAATTAAAATCAATAAAAGCATTCAATAAGATTAAATATAATAAAAACAATTGATGATAAACTTATTTTCTACTTAGGATGGAAATAACTAAATTAAATATGTAGAGAATTGCATTCATAAAATTTCATGTAAATAGTGTACCTGTTTCTACTAAATAAAATAGATAAATAAATACATTCATGTATAAAAACAATGATCTTAAAGTACCAACTATTGTATTAAAGTTAAGCATTGATATGACCTTAACCATCAATTATGTTTTTACCTCATCGATTGTTGCTATAGAGAAAAAGCCTTTAAATTAAGGCATCGAATTTTGATGAAATTACCTTAAAGGCGAAAATATTTCAACATATAGCATAGAGTAATTGATTTAAGAAGAGATGATTAAAGAAGGCAAAAGTTACCAGATATATATAGAGAATATAATCAGGGCTATAGCATTGTGCGTTTTGATTGTGTATTATATTGGTCTATCAATTAGTTCCAGTTTAAATTTTGATTGATTAAAAGTTTTTGGCATCCTTTTTAATGATAACAATAGATAAGATGAATGGTTTATTGCATGTATCAGTTCTATCTCAAAGTAAGAAGACTAAGAATAAGCTACTTGGTAAGGTGCTTGATAGCACACTTTGTTCTATATGTCACGATTACATGTATGTTCCTATGATGGTTGCTTGTGGGCATAATTATTGTTACAGTTGTTTAAGTAGTTGGTTTACGAGCAATGAAACCCAAGAACTAAGTTGTCCTCAATGCAGAGCCAATGTTACTACAGCTCCAGCATTAAATACTACATTACAACAATTATTAGAAACGTTAGCTGAAGTTAGTCTAGACGATACCAAGAAGGAGAAAGAAGGTGAAGATGTCAATAAAGATGGTAGTGAAAACAATGACGACGATGAGAAATCGAAAATTGACATGAATACATTTTATTCTTCAATGGAAGAGAGCAAGAATGAATATAATATGGATAAGAGGAATGAAAATCTATTTGGTAAAGTTTTCATCAATTCTGCGATGGCGGTAATCGATGAAGATGATGATGGAATTGCTCGTTGTAGTAATTGTCATTGGGAACTTGATCCAGATTTTGATGAAACAGATGGGAACGTTTGTCCTCATTGTAGCACTCGTATAAGAAATCGAGTACCTGAATCAGGGTATAGCAGAACTACCTCTGATGCAATTGGCGGTGGTCAAAGACGCGGAGGCTTTGACAGTGATGAGTATAGTGAAGGAGAATTAGAAGAGTTGGAACAGGATCTCCAAAGATATCATGAAGCCAGCGAACAAAGTATTCGAGAGTTAGATACTGATAATGAGGGAGAGGAAGGGAGCGGAGGGATGAGTGCTGAATTTGATAGAAGATTCCCTATTCCTCGACAAGGACGTAACTTCCTACATGATGACGAAGCCGAGGAATCCTCCAACAACGGTGATGACGATGATGACGATGACGATGGTGATGAAGCTATCCGCCAACGTAGAAGACACATTGACATGAACCAAGAGGTAGAATCCGACCTTGACTCCTTTATAGCTGATGATGATGATGAAGAACAAGAACTCGATGTTGAAGAACTAGATGGTCTATCAGATAACGATTCGAAACGAAACCGAATGGTCCTACAAGAATCCGAATCCGAAAGAGACAGTGACTACTACGAACATAACGATGATGGGTATGTTAGTGGAGACAGTCTAGTTGACGACCAACCAGACCAAGAGCCGCAACAACAAAATAAAAGACAAAGAAGATACAAAGTTATCCTACAAGGAAGTGATGAAGATGAAGATTGAAAACATTGTGTTGAAAGAGAAAAAAAGCATTCAGTAATAAAGGCAGAATCAGTAGAGAATAATCGATTCGAACTACCAAATCAATCCGCTCATCTCATCGCATCTCTTTCTCTCTCTCGTTTACTTTAAATACAAGACAGACCAATAAATACACGTTCAGTAGCTCTGAGCCTGAGACTGAGCCTGAGCTTTAACTTGAGCTTTAACTTGAGCTTCTCTACCATGATTCGATTTGATTGGTTCAAAGTGTAAACTGCTCTGTTTTTTTTCAGTTCGATACTTGTGTCGCTACCAATTATCCACTATTTGGTAAAACCGAAAAATTTCGACAAGGAAAGGATTAAAGCTTTAACCAAACACATTTCACCCAACTTTTAAGCAAATTGTAACCTTTCAATTTAAATTGAAAGGTTATTTATAAAGGAAAGGGGAGTTATTATGATTAGATATAGTTCTGTTAGTCTTGAATTGTGTTGTTTTCGTGGACTGAACGACAGATCGATCAATCAATAAGATTAAAAATCGTATTGTGAAAACAGATAGCAAATAAGCATTACATTTAGTATTTAAGAGATGGCTAACCCACAAAGAATAATTGAATTACAAAAGTTATTCCAAAAGTCTACTAAGCCAATTTGGTGGAGACATCCTAGATCTGCTTTCTACTTGTATCCATTCTATGGTTTATTTGCAGTTGCAGTTATTGCTCCTTTATGTTACATCCCAAACGCTATTATGGGTATTAAGGCAAAGAAACATTAAAGAGGATTCAAGTAATCCTCCTTCTCACCTCCTACCATTCAAGCTAAAATAAATTAGCTTAAATTCAACCGATTAAAATAGTAGCTCTCAAATGAAATATTACTACAGAATATATATATGTAGCTTTATGTTCAGCAGTAAAGTAAAAGCTCAGGCGAAAGCAATACTATAGCATAATCATTAAAAAAAAATATTATAAGGAGGACACTAATCATATTCTATTAATTAATTATTTTTATATTCATTTTTTTCTATTATTTACTGTTATTACAAGTGTTGTAATAACACTCTTCCCAAAACATATTACTTCTATTTAACATTTTTATTAAATATCTAATTCTTTTTAATTATATTCCTTTTATATTATATAGTTTAAAACTGATATTTCGAAATAGGTAGTTTAACATTTATCGACAACACTTCTGATACTAGAAAGTTAGTTGGTTTGGTGAGGATAAGAGTGATATAGAAGTCTTTAGTCACCTCGAGTTGTTCTGATTTATTTTTGAAAGTATTAGAAACGGTTGCATATTGTTTCAGTTATAAGTTTTGATCGTTGGTAGCTTAGTGTGGATAGCGAGAGAATAGGTTTTTATATTTAAAAGGGTAATGTTATCTTTACGAAGGGGATTGATAACTAAAAGTTATTTAAATTATAAATTTGTTAATCATTTAGCTGTAATTCCAAGGAATTACAGCAATGATTCAAAATATTTCTTTAGCAAGCCTCCAGCCAATGATAATAATGATAAGGGAAGCTATGCTGATTCAAAGCATTTCTTCACTAAACCTAATGGTAAGATGAACTCAAATGAACAGATTGATCAAATGCATAATAATGGCAGTAATAATCCAAATAATAATAAGAATGGCAGCACTGATTCCTTAATTGGACAAGCTATTTTACAGCAGAGACGTGAACGTAGAAAACAAGTGTGGTATGCTTTAGGTATTAGTATCTTCGCTGTATTAATTGGTTATTCAATTGGTTATAAAGTAATTTACTTGAATGAAGATAGCTTTATACCTTTATATCCTTCATCTGGTATCCGTAAGCCAAGTCAAAATGATTTAAGGAAGATAGATGTTCCTCACATTAAATTGATTTCTCATTTAAGAGTGTTAGAAGTGCTTTCTCACCATGATATGATCAAAGAACAGTACGGGGTGCCTTTGCATGATTCAAATGGTGTCAATCCTCCACAAATAAAAGAATTCAATATCTGGTGTGAAGATCAAGACCCTTGTGTAACTGGTCTGATCATTAGAAAAGATGATCCAAATAGACCTACCACTCATACTTGGCATAGAATTCCATATTTGCTTCAATGGAGAGTCACTCATAGACCTATTTGTATTTCCAGAAGTATATCAAATTTCTTGGAAGATATAGGTTTAAGTTATTCGACAATATACGAAATTATATCCCCTGAAAAGATTTACGGTTCATTCAAATACGAGTACCCAATTCCTGGGGATGACCATTCGATGCACATTTGGTTTTTAGGTGAATTACAACTTAATAATGATACTTTGATTATATACAAGGGAAAATATCATGTTGATGTCAAATTACAACAGGTTGACTTATTGAGAAATGAAGATGGGAAGCTAGTTCGTTATGTTTTATTTAAAGAAAACGAATGATTTATTCCAGTATATGCGAGAAATATACATGGTTTCTCTATTTTATGGCAAAGAAATATTGATTCCACTTTTATGACCTGGTTCTTAACAAATTTTCAGTCAAGAAGACATAATAAATAATAATGACACTATTTGTTAAGAACAATTCTCAAAATATATATAATGATTTTATACTGAAGTATAATAAATATTGATAAATGAAATGATATTTAATGAAATAATAGAGGAATGAATTAAAAAAATTTCTAATCTATTTATTGGAGAATTGTACTCTTTATAAATGTATTTATTAGGAATCTCTTAAATAAAAATATTCGTATGAGTTGGCTTGGTATTTCCTTTTTTCAGTCATATTTTATGTTTTTTTTCAAGTTACATTATTTTCATCTTTTAAACTCTTGCCAACGTACCAAAATCTTAAAATAAACACGATAAATTTTTATTTAATAAATGTTGTAAATTCAAAACCTTGTCTTGATAATTAATTGGTATTCATTGTAATAGTTATATAGAATTGGGTGCTTCTAATTTTTTTGTTAAATTAAAAAAATCGAATCGGCGAGATGGAAATACCATACTGAAAATAAAAAATCAACAAATTAACTGGGCGTGTGGCGTAGTTGGTAGCGCGCTCCCTTAGCATGGGAGAGGTCTTCGGTTCGACTCCGGACTCGTCCATTTCTTTTTTGCATATTCTTTACAAGAACTTATGGTGTAACAAATTTTGACTTATAAACTGAATTAAATCAATTCGATTAAAAGTTTTTGCCACTTTTTTCTTGATTAATATTTATAACAGAGAACTAAACAACAACAGGAATACACAATTTGTATTTAGTTACGTGCTACTGTAGATATTCTTCGTTGAATTGCGCTTTAGGAAGGAATTTGACCACTATTAGACCTGACCTTCAAGACCTCTTTTATAATTCATTAACCAGATTATTGCTTTGGCCATCCTTAGTTTAATTAGAGTTAAACATTATATACTTCGATTGAGATTATAGAAAGCCAAGTAAATTAACAGAACTTACAAGTGAAATTATTCTGTCTAATCCTGAAATCTCTTTAAAAAGCCTGAGACGAAAGAAGTAAGACGAACTATTGATGTCATTTGGTTCAGTAAACACATTCCAACAATATTCTGATGATTTTGGCTTAGGTCATAATGGAGTTCGAATCTCATTCAACTATTTTGATGGTCTTCCAGAACAATCTTTAATTAATGCTTTACAATCGAATGAATTGATTTTGATATTCAAGTCATTGTTGAAAAGAGATGTAACCACTAAAGAAAAGGCCTTAAATGAATTAATGGAATTTATTAACAACTTCTCAATCAATCAAAAATTGTTAGAAAGTGATATATTCATAATATGTTGGTCTCAAGTTTATGCGAAATTACTGGTGAGTGAATCAAAAAACATTAGAAATTTATCACATCAAGTCACAATCAAATTAATGAAATTAATGAATAAAAAAATTGGTAAATTTTTGAAAGATTTGATCCCATTCGTTTTATTAGGATTTTTTGATGTAGATAATTCAATTTGTCAAACATGTCAAGTGTCTTTATTAGATTGTTTTAATAATGATAAAAAAAAGATTAGCGTTTTATGGAATGTATTTCATGAACAGATTTTGAATTTAATAAGACAATCAATTGTTTTGGAAAATGAAAAAACCTTATCAGATGAAAATTTTATTGATAAAGATTTATCGCAATTGAGATATGATAGATTATTTACAAGTTCTGTTAAACTATTAAACAACCTTTTATTGGAAAATTCAGAAGATAATACGAAAATTAAGAAGTTTAAAAGTGAATATAAAGAAATTTTAAGTAATGAACAATTATGGAACCAATTGACCTTTAAATCTTTAAATAATTTGAAATCAAGTGAATCTTTATTGATTTTAGTTAAAACACTTTTTGATATTAAATATTTACCCACCCATAAGGAGGTTCTAAAATTTTTCTCAAAACGTTTATTAAAAGTACTACCTCAAATAAATTCAAAAAATGCAATGTCATTTTCTATTCATTTTAGCCTAATTATTGATGTATTGACACTATTAGATGATTATAAAGATGGGAAAGTTTGGTCGTACGATAAGTCTTCTAAATCAAAATTATTTGATTTCTTGACGATTGCATCTTTAAACCCTGTTCCTGGCGTTTTTGAAGCTATCTTCAAATTCTATGTCAAGACAAAAGAACAAAATCTACTGGATCGTGATACTCAATGGACTGTATTATGGTCAAACGCTCTAAATTCAATGAATGATAAAACATTCCTAGGGAGATACGGCGCTCAAGTATATTTTGAATATTGGAAATTTTATTTACCCTTCTTGGACAATGATGAATTGATCAGAGATGAAATTGCCAAGAGCTTTACTAATAAAAAGTTAGTTAATCAATTTCCTGGACTTGTCTCACTATTCACACAACACTTGAAGAGTGACTTCGTTCTTGAAGAAATAAATAAATCTTTCTCCATTCAAACTATTGATGCATCAGTTAAATCTAAATTAATCCAAAATTTGACGATCATGCTACTATCTTTTAAAAATGCTGAGAATGAACTCCATTCACTTTGTGAGTTTTGTTTGAACATTGCTTTATCAGATCCGACCCAATTAGAAGGAAATAATTCTGATGTAATAGAACTTTATCGTATCCTTATTAAATCAAATGTATCTTTCTTATATGCTGACATCGAGAAGTTCTTTAATAAAGTTCAAAATATGATCTCAAGCTCGAACTTTAACAATCTTTCAAATCTACTAATTTTGTATTCGAATTCATCAAACTTCACAGAAGAATCTTACAAATCAGAACAAGTCAAGGTTTTCCAGGCTTTTTTCGATACCAGCCGTTCACTAGATCTCACCCCTCAGGTTATATACGATATGCTGAGCAAAGTCAATAAACATATTCTTCACTCAATATTATCCTCACCAGAATCTAAAATTTCGGAATATGTTCTAAATTTTATTAGATCCTATAATTTTGAAGACGACGGTCATTTTATGGAAAGCCATTTGATAACAGAAGCAAACATAATAGAATTATACAGATCTGCATTGACTTGTGGACAAATTCCAATTTTTTGCAAGTATCTATCACAAATGAGTCCTGCATGCACCAACCTATTATTTACTAATTCTGATTTTTTGGAGACTTCATATCTAAAACATTCTGACGAAACTTCTGATTTGATATTTAACATTGCTATATCTTCAGTTAAAGATGACGATGGACTTTCTTTATCCCTTGCCAAAGCTATAATTAGAGAAGCCAAGGAATCTTTTGATAAAACAAAGAAACTTTATTTGGAACATGCTGTTAAATTAATCAATACTAATGTGACTACTGTATTAAAAGAATTTTTCCCTAGTGATGTTACCAAGTTAATTGATCAATATATTTGTAATATTGATGAAAGAGTAGCACTTGTAAATGTATTAAAGATGAATTCGCACCTATTATCACTACCTTTAGCCTCTACCACAATTTCTGATGTAGAAGAGTTAATTAGATTTGGTTTATTTTTGGACTCTCTTGTTGAAAAAGTTCCAGATTTTAAGAACGATCGTATTCAGTATCTTTTAACATTGATATTTGAAATTGCATCTGATTTCAATTGCATATCCGATAATCCAGTAGATACTTACATTTCTTTCAACAATACAATTTTCAAGGCAGATTCTGTTACAGTAAATTTTGAAGAAGTGGTAGACTGCTTAATGACAGGAAAAAGCTATGAAGATACCTGCCCATTAATCGATTTGTTGATTAATCATGAAAAAAAATCAAACCCAGTTGTTCTGTATTATTGGTCAAAGGCATTATTTGAACTTCTATTAAACGCTGTGGATTCTATATCTATTTCCAAATTAAAAGGATTACTTCCAACATTGGAAAAGTTCATTTCGAAAACTATCAGATCCAAGAGCAATGAAGAACTTGAATATTCCTTTATGGTTTCAGCAGTTGTCTTAATGAGCTTAGAAAAGTTCACTAATAGCGAAGAATTTACAAGGCTAAGGACATTATTGGCGTCCGAATTAATTGGTACAAATGGAACAGAGTTGGTTAATAGTGGCTATAAATCAGTCATATTATTAACAAATTTATTACACGTAAATGGAGCCAAGGATGACTTCACTCCGATTGCTCCTCAAAGACTAAATATGGTTATTAATTCAATAAGTAAAATATTGGATACAGACCTAATTTATGAGGAAAGCTTTAGTGTAGTAAGACTTTCAATTTTAAACTTCTTTGATCAGTTATTGCGTTTTCCTGCATTACAAAATATTGATCATTCGGTTATTATCAGGTTTATTGCTGACTCACTATCAATGTGTCAATTAGACGATACGCCTTATTTACTCGAATTACGTTACACTTGTTTAAAATCTTATGAAAGAATACAGAAATTCGAAACAGAGTACCAATCAAGTGAATATGTTTTAGAAATATCTGATAGTTTGATTGAACTATGTTTAATCGAGTTTCCAAATGAAGGTAAAAATCAAATTTCTATGAATTTTTACAATCTATTATCTAAGATTATCTTTTCGGTGAATACCAAGACTTTGATTGAATTTTATGACAGATTTTTAGAAAGATTTTTACAGGATAAGAAAGAACAGTACAATAATCAAAATCGACTATTGGTCATTATTTTGGAGAAATTAATCCATGTCAAACAACAAGATGCTATTGTTGAATATGAGTTTAGGAAACAAGATTTGCAGAATTCCATAAAGCAATCGGATGATGATTCTGACAATGATGAAAATAGTGATGAATCTCATGGTTTAACATCTGGGTTTGAATTACCGCAGTTATTAGTTGACAATTTAAAGAAGAATGTTCCTCAAGAGTACTTGGAATATGAGAATGAAATCAGTTACATTAACTATCTATGGGATTGGCACTTATCTCTAAGTTTTTTCCAAGATATATCATATAATTTACGCCAATTGTATATCGAGCAATTAAAAAAAGATAACTTAATCGATATAATTTATAACTTCATAGGTGACCAAGTCGATTTGGAGGATACTGAGTTTTGGAAAGAACTCGAAAATGATTCAATTGTGAATTATAGAGTCGATGGCGAACAATTCTCACCATACAAGGATGATATAATGAATGAATGCAAAATTTTACTAGTCCATTTAACTTATAAATTATTCATAAATTTTGGTGCAATCACCAGTAATTGGTTTTTGAATATTAAGGATAGATCATTACAGAATAAAATAGAGAAGTTTGTTTCTACTTATGTTTCCCCGATTTTAATTTTACATGAATTGCAAGATGTTTCCTCTAAGATGGATCGTTTAACTTCAAAGGATGATTCATTGGATATTAAAATAAATGAAGTTACAAAGGAAGTCAAGGCAAGATACTTGATTGATGAACAAAAATTAGAGATATCGTTCAAACTTCCTTCCAACTACCCATTAACAAACGTTCAGGTAATAGGCGTTTCTCGAGTAGGAATTAGCGAGCAAAAATGGAAGCAGTGGATTATGTCAACTCAAAGTGTGATTACGAATATGAACGGCTCTGTAATGGACTCTTTAGAATTGTTCACTAAAAACGTCAACTTGCAATTTTCAGGTTTTGAAGAATGTGCAATCTGTTATTCGATTCTGCATGCTGTGGATAGAAAATTGCCAACAAAGACTTGTCCAACATGTCGTAACAAATTCCATGGCGCATGTTTATACAAATGGTTCAGATCATCCGGTAACAACACATGTCCAATGTGTCGTTCAGAGATTGCAATCAGAAGATAAACCAAATCTTGTTAGGCATAAATTTTATAAATACTAATGTATATATTTTATTATAGAATTTTCATTAAACTTTAAGCTGTACCTTCTTTTTTCTATCGGAATCAAAAACAAATATTATTTAGAATACCAAAACACAATCGATTTAATCATTTGATTAGTCAATTGGTGTTAAATAGACATGGTCACAATTAATCTCTAAATTGAGTCTTAATCATTTTCGTTGGGTTAAAAAAGCAACCATGGCGCTACCACGTGTATTCAATCCATATTCTTAAAAGTGAAAAATTACCTAGCTGATGTTGAATAAACATATTTAAAACTTAAGATCAAGTAGTTTCGATAGATGTCGAAGGACTTCAACCTTGTAATTGTCATTTCAGCTAGGGTAGAAGGGTTTTATTTATTAAGGTTTTGCTACCTGATCGAAGTTAAACAAAAAAACGGAAGTTTGTTAGTTTATTAGATCTATGGATTCAAGATGATCTTTAAAAGAAGATTGAGAATTCTATTAATAGCGTTAGCTTTTATTGTATCAATTACAGTAATTGTAAGGTGTATAGTTCATTTCCAATTAAGTAAAGAGATTACTTATTATAAGAATTATTTTGAAAAGAGGAAAGATGGTATTCAAGGTCTTTTCAATCCATTAGTAATTAAGCAAATTCCACAAGAGACGATAGATTCTATTTATAAAAAACAATTACAAAAGAAAACTAGTGAAAAAAATGCTGTAGATTGGGACAAATTGGCCTATGTTAATTATGTTACACACGCTTCTTACCTTTGTAACTCATTGGTAATGTTCAATTCATTGAAGAAATATGGTACTAAAGCGAAGTTAGTATTACTATTATCAAAAGACATATTAGAACAAGATTCAGAGGATGGCACAAAACATTCTAACAAACTTGTTAAAAGAATTCAAAATATAGACAAGGATCAAGTTATAGTGAAACTAGTAGATAATATAGTAAAACCAAAGGATTATACACCATGGAATCAGAGTTTAACTAAACTTTTAGTTTTCAATCAAACCGAATTTGATAGAATAGTCTACTTAGATAATGATGCATTGTTAAAGAATTCATTAGATGAATTGTTTTTCATTCCACAATATATTAAATTTGCAGCACCATTGACCTACTGGTTTTTATCTGAGAATGAAGTTAACGATGCCTTTAGAGAATTGAAATATCACGAGAAGATTCCAACAAATTTGAACGTATACATTAAAAAGTTGGACGAAAGAATTGAGAAAGGTCAAATGATATATAATCATCTACCGTCATTACCGTCTAGTTTGTTTTTGAACACGAAAAATGTTGCACAGGAAATTATAAGTTCAACTTCATCTGCATCACCTTTATTTGACTTCACAAACATTGGAAAAACCAGTAAACTTAAGTTTGCAAGTAATTTAATGGTTATTAATCCATCTAAAGAAACATTTGATCATATTATGAATGAGGCACTGCCTAAGATTCTTAATAAAAAGGAAAAATATGACATGGACCTAATTAATGAAGATTTATACAATTTGAAAAAACAAGTATCTAAACAATTTACGTTATACCGTAGATTAACAACTGCATTCAAACCAGAAGTTTTAGTATTGCCATTTAGTAGGTACGGTTTACTGACTGGTTCATTAAAAAATCAAAAGCAATATTCAATTATTGAGGATGACATGTTAGGATACAAAAGAATAAAGGAAGATGGAGAGCCTTTAGAGAAAGAGCTGACTGAAATAGTAGAGGATGCAAAATATATACATTATTCAGATTATCCACTAGGAAAACCTTGGAATTATAAGAGCATTAACGAAATTAAATGTGTCGCAAATAAGAAATCTAAAACTTTTGAGCAAGAGACAAAGGTCTGTGATCTCTGGAATTCTATTTATGAGGAATTCATGAATGATGCAAGTATTTGTAATTAGGAGGAGTTAACTAGTTTTCTCCGAGTAAAGGTTAGAGTTTTGAAGGTTCTGATGAGTCTATACAATTTTTATATACTATATTTATATATATATTTAATTATGTTTATATGAAAAAGCAAATTAATTAAATTAAGCAGTAGTGTGTGCATATATAACTATTTAATGTATTGGGTTATATTATAATGACGAAAGTATGAGATAATAGTTCTAAACAGACAAATCAATGAAAAAGTAGGGACTAATAATGACAGTAATGATATCAATAAATATCTATTGATAATAGATCATAATTAAGTGAAGGAGTTATGAACAAAATGAAAATCAATGATATTAAATTTTACAGACAATAATAATACAATCATTAATCTTGTCTGGATTAGGTCCTTCATGTTAAATCGCGAGTATTTAACTAAGAATTAATATTCTTATATTTAATATTGATTAAATCTTTAATTATCTAACTGCTGCTAGCGTAGACTTCATCGACATCTTTTTGGACAGCTTTTAAGATATCTTTTCTCTTTAGCTTTTGGGCAGATGTGACGTAACCATTTTGTGGAGTCCATTCTTCATCTACGAAGACAATACCTTGTAATAATTCAATACCAACTAGACCTTGTTCTTTACCAGTCTTCAAGATATCATTGAAAGCTCCATAGATCAAATCTTTATTATGTATTAGTTGATCGATATCATCACCAGTCTTAGATAAGCCTAATTCTATAGCTAGAGGCTTCAAATTAGTTAAATTTGGAACGATGATACCTATTGGTTTAACCTTGGTAATGTCTGCATATACACAGATGTTTGCAATATATTTGTTTGATCTGTAAATAGATTCTAATTTTTCCAATGCAATGTATTCACCATTCAAAGTTTTAACCAAATTTTTCTTTCTATCAATAATCTTTAAATGACCATTTGGCATCCATTGACCAATATCACCGGTTCTAAACCAGCCATCTTCAGTGAATGCAGCATCAGTTTCTTCTTTATTTTTATAATATTCTGGAGTGATGGAAGGACCCTTTAATAATACTTCACCTTGATCATTTTTAGCCAAGTATCCCAATTCTTCAACATCCACCAATTTACAATCCAAACAACAGACTAAATTACCTGCTACACCAAATTCAAAATTTGCTGGTTTTAAGACTGTACCAGTAGCGACAGTTTCAGTTAGACCATAACCGATTAACATTGGACAAATCAAGTTTGAAATAAATACTTGAGTATCTAATGACAATGGTCCACCACCATTTAACATATATTTCAAATGACCACCAGTAGCTTGCTTAATCTTTTTGAAGATTAAATTACCTAAGATGTTACTACCTGGAATATGATAATTTGACATTGTCAATTTTGCGTAATAAGCAGCCCAAAATACTTTTTGTTGTAATGGAGATAAGCTATTAATTTGGGCAATGATACCTTTTTTAATGTTTTCCCAAACAGCAGCGACACCTACCATAACATGTGGTTTATATTCTGCCATATCACCCTTACAGTTACGAACTGAAGCATTAGTTAAAGTTTTAACAGTAGCGTAACCCAAAGTACCACCAGCTAACAAAGTGATTAATTCGAAAGCCAATTCGAAGATATGAGCTAAAGGTAAGAAAGCGATTAATCTTTCACCTTCTTGGATGAAAGAAGTATTAATACCAATACCACCTACAGCAGCAACGATAGTTGAATGTTTCAATACGACACCCTTTGGATCACCAGTAGAACCTGAAGTGTACATGATACAGGATAAATCATCAGGTGTTGGTAAAATTGGTTTAATATCTTTTGATTTTTGACCGATTTCAATTAATTCATCGAAGGAATAAAATTTAATGTCAGGTCTGACTTTTTTAATCTCATCGATTGCATTTTTGGCATTAGCATATAATTCACCACCTTGTCTTTTGTCTTTTTCAGTAACGAAATCTGCATGAATAATTGCTTTAACTGAGTTACATTTTTGTACAGGATTGATCAAAGTATGTAAAAGTGCATTATCAGTGAAGATAGCTTTTGATTCAGTTTGGGCAATTGAGTGGATTAAACCTGATTCACCCAAGGTGTCATAAGCGGTTACGACTGGAATAGCTTGTGCTTGAGCACCTAAATACATTTTCATCCATTTATGTGAAGTTGAAGCGTAAATGTGTAATTTATCATCATTGTCGTGAGTTAAACCAATTTCTCTCAAACCTGCACCTATATGATGCATAACATCGATCAATTCGGAATAAGTAGTATATTTGTATGAAGACAACTCATAAAATAACCAGGTCTTATCAACATTTTTGAATTCACCATTGATTTTACGTTTGATAGATTTTGTTTCTTTATGAATATCGATGACATCACGCCAACCCAAAGCGTTACGTTCTGCTAGTTGGTTAAATCTTTCTATGGCGAATTCGTAAACGGTTGAACATTCCATACCCTTTGGCCTATAGTAAAGGCCATCTTTTGCTTCAATGCTTCTTCTTGGAGCAGTTTCATGAATATTTGCAGCTTTGCCAGATTCGACAGTAAACATTGTCATCTTTTTCTAATGTATCAGTATTTGTATATATATATATATATATCTTCCAAAAAGAAAACGAGTATAATTGACACACACACAGACAGATACTATATATCAGTGATTGGTTTATTATTATGTGTTACAAAACAATAATAAATGGATAGTGGAATAGAATTGGAAGAAGAATAGGAATATATTGGGAACGAAATAGTTCTTAATTATAATTATTTAGTACCTTTATATATGGATAGTGTGATAAGAGAGGGGAAAGAGTTGTAATAGAAAAAAAAGAGAGAGAGTATGTGAGGAAGAGAGAGATGGTAATATGATAATAGCAGAAATATAAAAGTTGAATGAATGGATAAACTAAATTCGAGTAACCAAGGATCCAAATAAGATTTCTTAGATCACAAATCAATCAAAAAAAAAAAAAAAAATAATAAAATAAGATAATAATAAATAATAATAGTAATAAGTCCAAAAAAATTTAAAAAAAAACGACGAACAACAAGAATGAAAGTGGTCTTGCAAATGTAGATGTAGATGTAGATATAGATAGAAAGTGTTTAGCATACAGATACAATTAAAGAAGGTTCGAATTGGAAGAAGTACAAGCGAGAGATCTTAGAGTTTTGTACAAAATGAAGTAAACTTGAGCCAAGTAGGAGAGAGAGAGAGAGAGGTATATAGATAGGATGGGAATATAAATGAGAGTATACTGGGGACTACTGGGGACTTGGACTGGACTGGACTGGACTAAAGAGATGGCGATGAGAGACGAGAGAGGGTCAGGTCAATATGCGGTAGACTTGACTAGAATGCAAATAAATTAGAAAAGTCCTAAAGGTTTGTAAATGGATGGATATCTATAGGAAGCGAGGAAGAAAGCGCAGTACAAAAGTGTAATTGATGCGATGAGAGAGGTGAGACTTATTGATTGATTGATTGATTAATAAATTGATTGTTTGTTTGTTGTATTTGTTGTAATTGTTGATTTTTGGTTGATGATATTTCTCAATTAGAGTGTTGGGTTCTGTGCAGGTGAGTATCAGAGTGGTTTAATATTTATTTATGTATTATCTTGTGGAAACGAAACGAAACGAAACGAAACTTCGAACTGTAGTGACGAAATTTTTTGATGCCCGGTACCCTTCGGGAAAGATACAAAAAGAAACAAAAAGAAACGCCGAATTCGAATTCGAATTTGAATTTGAAAGCGACATGGACGTGGACGTGGACGTGGACGTGGACGAGAGGGCGAGGGGGGAGGGGGGAGAGGGAGGAAGGGCATGAGGGAAGGAAGGAGCCGACCCGAACGAAGAGAGGACGGGCGGAGATCGAAAGACGGGAATTCTACTGTGCCAACGTGACGAGTTCCTCAGAAAAACAAAGAGGGAGAGAGGGAAAAAAAGAAAACGAAAAAGAAACAAAAACAGTAAACAGCAGATAAATGGCTTGAAGATAAAAGGAAGTGCAAGAGTGAAAGAGGGCAGCGGAGACTTCACCGCAATGGACGAAATTGGCTGTGGTTGTGTAAGACTGGCGGGGCGAGAAAGAGCGGTGGGAAAACAAATAAAAAAGAGTTTCGGAGTAATTTCACCGCAGTTTCTGCTCTATTTTTTGGGTTTTTGGTTTTTTATTTGACCCAAATAGGCAACTATTAACGGTGATTTTGTTGGGCACCAGTCCCAATTAGGTATACATCGAGTGGGATAGTTTTGTGTAATGCCAACTTTTGTTGAGAAGAAGAGGAGTTATATAAAAATAAATTTAAAGCAACAACAGCAACAGCAACAGCAACAACAACGTATATTGTATGGTTATGGTGTGGTGTGTCACAGGGACAGTAATCGCACAACAACATAAACCGTAGGTCTTGTTGCTTTGAGGTGATTTGTGGTATAAAAGTTCCGTTTTGTGGACACACAGAGAGGTGTAGAGGTGTCTTCTGGTTGCGTATGGTACTTTTGTTCAAATGCTGTAAACTCACATCTACATCTACATCTACATCGATTGATGGTACTAGATTAGGTTTTTTGGCATTAATCTGTCTCTGTGTGTGTTATTTATTTATTTTTTGTTGATCAATTGAATTATAATCCACCACTGCCCAGTACTCGTTTGTTGTTAGGAGTTGCAAGCCAACGGTTTGTTGTTCTTGTTATGCTGCTCTCACAATCATCATTCCAGAGAACACTCTCCAAGTGTGAGTGAGTCCGCCCGATATGACTTTGATCTGACCTTGTTGCTAGCGTATTTTGGGTTTAAAGGGATTTGTCATCGTCATCATCATCATCATCATTGTCGATGTAGTCTATGTATATCCATCCCCTCAGCGAAACATCGATACTTTTGCTATGGATTGGGTTGGGTTGGATTGGATTGGATTGGATTGCCTTTTATTATAGCACAAAATACTACTCGGCTCTATCCCCTTTATCACTAGGTTTCATGTTTGAGGGAGGAATATCGAAAAACAAAAAAAATCATTTGCTCTCCTGTCGCTTGGCACTTGCGTGGGCGCTCTTTTGTTGTCTCGTTCCTTCTTTGCAGTTCGACCCCATCTCCACCAATTTTCCCAATACCTTTCCCATCTCATAGAGAGAGAGAGGAGCCGGCAATCTCTTTGATACCGCATTTATGAGAGGGGACAAAGGGAGAGGAAGATAACAATCCGACAATTAGGAGAAAATCAAGGAACCGAAAGAAATACATATCATCATCATCAAAGATTCGATAAAGCTTCATCAAAATTCTTTTGATCCACCCGCTTCCTCCCTTTCTTTCCCTCTCTCTCTCCCTCTCTCCCCACACCTATTCACATTGCCGATAACACACTTTTAAACTGATTTGAGTCAAATCTAGTCAAATCAAATCAAAACCAGGTGAAACATTATAATAAATCAAAAATTGTTTGGAAATTTTCAAACATTTCTAACCCCTTGACAATTACGCTAAGCATAACATATTTTCAAGGCCCAAATTCTTGTTTCTTTCTCTTTCCCTTCCAGTTCCCATTTCCCTCTAATTTACATATCCTCTTGTTCTCTTAATTCGACATTACGTCGCAATAGACATAACAACGCTTTCTTTCGATGATCATCGATTGTGACGCTGACACCTTCTCTCACGTCAGACACACATACACATACAGTCATGTGATACGTGCAATATGACCAGACCAGTTTGTTCGCGCAAACACCCGTTCCCATATTTTCACACACGCAAAACAGCTCCCAGCCAAACCGATTTTTTTCAAAGTTTCAAACAAAACGGCTCATCGCCAGTGAAAAAAAAATTTCATCAGCTTTTCGATTTTCATTCATTACCAGTTTTATATATATATGTATATGTAACTCTTTTTACACTTCTGGTTTTTAAAAGATATATTTAAATTGGCTTTATAACTCTTTCAATTTTTGAACAGATAAAGCACGTATATACACAAGCATTAAACAATGGTTGCCTTTATCTCCAAGAAAAGAAAGTTAGTCGCTGACGGTGTCTTCTACGCTGAATTAAACGAATTCTTCACTAGAGAATTAGCTGAAGAAGGTTACTCTGGTGTCGAAGTCAGAGTTACTCCAACCAAGACTGAAATTATCATCAGAGCTACCAGAACTCAAGACGTTTTGGGTGAAAATGGTAGAAGAATCAATGAATTGACCTTGTTAGTCCAAAAGAGATTCAAGTTCAAGCCAGGTACCATTGTTTTATACGCTGAAAGAGTTCAAGACCGTGGTTTGTCTGCTGTTGCTCAAGCTGAATCCATGAAATTCAAATTGTTGAACGGTTTGGCTATCAGAAGAGCTGCTTACGGTGTTGTCAGATACGTCATGGAATCCGGTGCTAAGGGTTGTGAAGTCGTTGTTTCTGGTAAATTAAGAGCTGCCAGAGCTAAGGCTATGAAATTCGCTGACGGTTTCTTGATCCACTCCGGTCAACCAGTCAACGACTTCATTGACGTTGCTACCAGACACGTTTTGATGAGACAAGGTGTTTTGGGTATCAAGGTTAAGATCATGAGAGACCCAGCTAGATCTAAGGTCGGTCCAAGAGCTTTGCCAGATGCTGTCACCATCGTTGAACCAAAGGAAGAAGAAAAAATCTTGGTTCCTTCTGTCACTGATTACAGACCAGAAGAAGAAGAAGCTACCGCTTGATTTAAATAATATCAATCATTTATATTTCAATACTATATATATTAATTCAATTATTTAATTCATTCCATCAACTATCATTTCATTTTTGAAACTGATGCTCTTCGTTTACCATTCATAACTCTCTTTTTTCACAAATCAAAGCTCCATTGTACCTTTTTCCTACTAAAAATCTTGAAAGATGATATATATATATATATATATATATATAAATATATATTTATGTTAGTCACAACAACACATCAGGTGAACTTCTGTAAAAAAGGAGTATTGATAAGAAACAATATAGATACACACATACAATACAAAAGATGATAACTTATGCTGATCTATGTTCAGTGGGTACTGGGCTAATTTTAATCTCTTCATCCTTTTTGATGGGTGTTTTCTTTGCAAACCAGCCATACGATTATGATTTATTATTCAATACTTCATCAACTCAAGAGCATTTCGATTCTGCTTTAAAACACTACCAAACTCTATATAGTACTAATCCAAGAGTTTTATACGTTCTATTAGGTGTTACTGCCTTGGGTTTCATTGGTTCTATGATCAGAATTTATAAACCAAACCCTGACTTACAATTGTTCGAATATACTTCATTAGGATTATTCGTATTTGCTATTTGTGTTTTCATTACAAACATCAAAACTGGTATCGAATGTTCCATTACTCACAATTGGGGTGAAGTTAATGAAAACCAGGGTTTAGCTGTCTTAGCCTCTTCAAATATTATCTTCTTGCTAATGTTGGTTGGTGTCATATTATTACAAGGCGGTTTATGGTATACCAATTGGGATTATCAAAAGAGATTGGGTGAATTCTTTGCAGCTGAACAAGCTGAACAAGCTCAGCAAGAAAAACAGCAACCAGAATCTAAGAAGCAATCTACCAAAAAATCAAAGAAAGAATCAAAGAAACAAAAATGATTTAGTTTTGTATACTTTTATATATAAGATATTTACATGAATATTATAATACTCTTATCACCATTTATAAACATTATTGGTGACACCCCTTACTGGTTTGTCAGCTAATTGAACCCAAGGTTTCTTTCTCTGTTGTTTTAATTCAGATTCATGGGCTAATCTTTTCAATGTTACTGACTTGCTCTTTAGAATGCATCTTACATGTACAAATCTATGCGTAATCTTACCAACTCTACCTCTACCTTTTGCCTCGATTCTCTTCATCCAATTACCATCACTACCGGTCCAAATTTGAGAAATGTATAAATCATTTGGATCCAATTTCAATTTATTGGCATCTTCAATACCTTGCTCCAATAATTCACCAATGTATCTAGAAACATGTCTTTTGGAGAAATGACACTGTGTAATAGCTTTTTTCAAGTCTAACCCATTCAACAATCTACACAATTGAGTTGCTTTCTTTGGGGTGGTTCCCAATCTAGCTGATTTTAAGTAAACCGATGGTTCAAGAGCTTCAATTTCCTTTTGTGATAATTTTAATTTAAATTGACCCAATTTTGAAACTGCAACCACAGTATCTCTAGTGAAAAACCCACCATTCATCTTACAATTTGCTTCATATATCTTTTTCTTTAATGGACTCAATAGAATGTCCTTTGCTGGAAGCTCTGGTTGATTTTTAACCTTTTTAATATATTTTTGTAATTGTACATCATCTTCTGGCTTCAAAGCAGAAACACCATCACTAGGTTCATCTCCTTTCACAGCAACTTCATTATATGCATTCAATAACCTATTGGAGCTAGTCTTACTATTTTTTGATGTATCTTCTTTAACTAATGATCCAAATAGATTATTAGCATTAGAATTTTGTAAAAAACGATTATAACTGAAAAATCTCTCACAACGCCCAGCTTTGACAAAGTTACCCACACTTCTACTCAAATTCATCTTCAATCCAATGGAACTAGTCTCTTGATGCCTATAGGAGAATCAATATACTTATATGAAGTTCTTACTCATTGGCTATGCATTGTATGGACCAACCTTTTAAATACTGAGCTTCTGTTAAATTTTAAAATCTTTAAATTTTATAAATACTAGATATCACGTGATGTATCATTATACACGTGATATGTTTTCTTCTATCAGATATCAAGTATTATAGTGATGACAGACACCCAAGACACTTTGAACCAAGCTAGTTGCCAACATAAAGGTATGGTTCTGATGGATTGACTCTCCAGAATGTGGTATTGTTTAAATAATTATTACATTTTTGATATACAATTAGAATTATTTTAATAAGGTATTATTTTATTTTATATTATATTATATTATTTGGATGAGGGATAGATTGTGGATGGAAGTTTGAGGAAGGACATTAAAATAAAAAGGTATATGGACATTTCAAGTTAAAATGTTTATTGGTCCATCCTCAATTGAATTGAATTGAATCCAATCCAATTCAATGGCATAATTGGCTTGTTTTAGTTTATACTTGTGGTCCTGATAGAATTTTTTTCAGTTTACCAAAGAATCCTGACTTCTTTGGTACAGTTCTTACAGGATGTGTAGGACGAGCATTTTGAGTAGTTCTTGGCATGGCTGTTTTAACGTTTTGAGGCTTTTGTTGCTGTTGCTGTTGCTGTTGCTGTTGTTGTTGAACTGGTTTTTGTACTGGCTCTTGCTGCGGTTCTTCCTCTTCAGTTGATTCTTCATCTTCATTGTAATAGTCATCATCAGTAGTATCATCTAGATCCATATGTTGATGGTCACTTATTTGTGGGGATTCTACTTCTTCTGAGTTAGCATCTTCTTCTGAGTTAGCATCTTCTTCCATCGGCTCATGTTGTGATGGTTCAACTTGTTCAACTGGTTCTTCTGTATTGTCTTGATTCAATTCTTGATTCAATTCTTGGGCATGGACTTCTCTAACTTCGCTGAATTCTCTAATTTGCTCTGGGTTTGCAATAATTACAGGAGTTGCAACAGTAGCTTCATCAACAACACTATGCTCTTCTGTAATCAAAGCACCAGCATCATCGACGTTGTTATTTGGAACTTCATGCTCTTCACCATCAGAATCCTTTAAAAGCATCACTTCTTCAGAAATAACTACTCTTTCACCAGTTTTTTTATTTCTTCTAACCTTCTTCTTAATCTTTATCCTTCTCTTCCTCTTGGCCTCCAAGTCATTGACATCGATACAATTATTCTCAAAACCAGAGCTATCAAACTCTTTCTTCAAGTTATCATTCAATAACCACTCACCATCCACAATAAATTTGAATTGAACAGTTTCACCTTCTTGGATATCCAACGGTAAACATAATTCGAATGAACCGTCTTCACTCTTGTATAATTGTTTCTCTTCTTTCCAATTATCGAAACTACCACTTACGGCAACTGAAGTTGGACCTGCTGGCCATCTGAATGTATATATCTTAGAACTCATTAAAAATTAATAACGTCTTGATCTATTTCTATTTGATTGAACAATATCCTTCAAAGTAACGATAAAGTTCTAGTCCTAGAGTTTACAGTTTTATAGTTTTATATATTATTGATTATAACTATCCACTTGAGCAGACAGATAAGTTAAATAGCAATAGTAACTTGGTCTTGAATGAAATGAAACTTTAGCAAGAAGTGATTGTTTAGAGTATGTTATTAAGTTGAACATAATTTGAGTTTAATTTACTAATTGAAATGATGTGTTTGAGTGAGTGTTAATGGATGTTGACGCAACAGTTCTTGTTTGTTTGTTTGGTTTGGTTTGGTTTGTCTGGTTGGTTTGTTCGTTGGTGTCAAAAATGGGATGGTTAAGAGATACGTGATTTTTTGATTAATCAAGGAGAGAGAGTGACAGCTGTTGTTGTAAAAGGGGGGGTGGTGGTGGTGGTGGTANTCNTGTTTTANCTTTGTCAGTCTGGGGGGGTGGGATAGAGTNTGAGTCAATTGGGATGGTATTGTTTGTTTATATACTTAGATGGGGGGTGGGACTGATAAGAATAGAGATTCTAGGTTCTTGGGTCTTGCTCTTGCTCTCGTCAGTGACGATGGTGAGAAAGCGATGGGGCTAAGTATGAAAATTTAAAACAAGAACGTACGGATGAACGGATGGGGGCTATACGGAGGTGTTCCAGAGTAGTTGGGAAGCAGTTATAGATGGGTGGATATTTGCATAAAGCAAGTAAACATCTGGTAATTCGAAGGGTGCGATACGGGGAGTGACCTATATGACCAATGAAAGAAAATTGAATTACCGTTTTACTGGTTGGTGTGATCGTGGATGTGAAAAAGAAAAAAGGAAGGTAATACGTAGGAGGAGAGAGTTAAGTGAGTTGAGAGGGGAGATAGATGCATTAATAAATCTACACGTTTCTTGTGGTAGGGATGACATAAGGTGGTTATTGGTTGAAGTAAGGGAGATAAGAAGGAATGGTACGGAGTGTCATGAAGAGAAGGCTAGAGGGAGGATGTAAAGTAATAGATGGGATTGATATATGATCGGAAATTGAAGAGAATGGAGATTGAGGCTCTGAACTGAGGTAAAGGATTGACGTTGATTCGGGGAGTTGAGTGAAAATGGATGTATTGAGTATGAATAAAAAGAGTAAAGAGAATAGAGCGTGTATCGACTAGCGCTATGTGCGCGAAAGAGTATGGATGAGATAAGAGATGGTGGATTGATAGAGACGTCTACTTGAAGAGATAGAGTATGGGAAATGATCGACAGGTATAGCGATGTGGGTATTATGAGTGTGAGGAGAAATTGCATATAGATGTGGCATATGGCATTGTGAGGCGGAATATAGGAAGTATACAAATGAGAACTGATTGTGAGAGANGACAGGA